ATCCGCCTGCCTCTGCCTCCCAAGTGCTGGGATTAAAGGCATGCGCCACCACCGCCCGGCCAATTTGGAATTTCTAATACCTCATAACCGAAAAACAAAATGTTCTTCTAATTTATTTTAATAAGTAACATAGTTTGCTACCCTGAGTTCATGAAAAATCTCAAGCTGAATACATGCCACCATTCCTGTTCAAACAGCCCCCTAAGAGATATTTCCTGATATTCACTGGATGGAAACTGAGCTATTTCAATCAGTGGGTCACTACAGGAACACAACCTTGTGTGTATTCGTGTGTGTGTGTGTGTGTGTGCGTGCAAGTGTGTTGGCACGTGTGTGCATTTGTTTGTTTGTTTTTTTGTTTTTTGTTTTTTTTCGAGACAGGGTTTCTCTGTGGCTTTGGAGGCTGTCCTGGAACTAGCTCTTGTAGACCAGGCTGGCCTCGAACTCACAGAGATCCGCCTGCCTCTGCCTCCCGAGTGCTGGGATTAAAGGCGTGCACCACCAACGCCCGGCATGTGTGTGCATTTGTACATGAGCACTAAGTCATCTCTGAGACAGTGCCTCCAGCAAAGTGCCACCACAACTGTCTCAGTACTCTACAAAACCATACCTCCCTGGGGACAAACTCAGCAGTTACTGAGTCCACAAGGTGGGCTGCCTCAGTAGTTCCAGTCTGGCACCAGAAGGTTCCTGGAGAGCCACCGGTCCCTGCTCCATGATGAATGCTTGGGACGCTGGTTCTGCCACAGCCACAGTGGTGGTCAGGTCACCTGGCAGCCAGAGGAAGGCCACATGAGTAGAGAGTGAGATAATGTCCCCATGACCAGCTCTAATGGTGCGGACCTTTCTAGGTCACTCAAGGCAGTCGGGACAACTGGTTGTGACAGGCTGACATCAAATGAAGCATAATTCAAGCCTTAGCCAAATAAAAAGCCTACTTTAGGCAGAAGAGAGCTTGTGCCATGATCATGAGAAGTGGGGTTTGGATCCCAGAACTCATGGAAGAGCTGGGTTTCTGGTGCTGCCCACAACCCTGGTTCTGAGTAAGCAGTGGCATGGTGGTCACTGGATTTGCTTCCGACCTCGCTGAGAAACACATGAGGCCCATGTTCAGGGAGACAACTGGCTTCAGAGAAATAGATAGGGGATCCTGACACCCCTTCTAGTCTCTGCATTTGTGAACAGGTGCATGGCTCTACACACGTATGTGCACATCTGCACACACAAGCCTGTGCATACACTCACACTCATGAATAAAAAATACACATCAGGGCTGGGAATGTAGTCCAGGGGTTATGTATGATTAGCATATGCAAAGCCCTGGGTTCTATCTTCATCACAACAAGCACGCACGCACGCGCACACACACACACACACACACACACACACACACACACAGGAGTGCACAGGTACCACGTCTACAACCGTCATAGGACTGCTTCTCTCTGGAACACTGTACTTGAGTTTCTTTAGGGGTGATGCTTGTTGCTTTTTGCAGGGTATCAATCTCATGTGTGTTTTTTTTTTGTGGTGGTTTTGTTTTGTTTTGTTGAGACAGTTTCTTCATGTAGTAGTCCTGGCTGTCCTGGCACTTGCTCTGTAGACCAAGTTGCCTTGAAGCCTGGAACCCACTGAGATCCGCCTGCCTCTGCCTCCCGTGTGCTGGGGTTAAAGGCTTCACCACCAATGCCAGGCTCACATGTGTAGTTGGAATTTTCTTGGGGCTACTGACCAGCTCCCAAATAAAGACATGGCAACTTATTTTTCATTACGAAAGCTTGGCCTTAGCTCTGGTTGTCCCACGAGCTCTTTTAACTTCTTCTAACTGGTTCTCTCCATCTGTCCTCGCCTCGGGCGGTTTACCTTTTTCCATTTTGTACGTCCTCCTGTCCTGCTTCCCTTGTGCCTGGCTGCCTGGTCCCTGGCATCTCCTCCTTCCCTGAGCCTAAATTCCTCCACTTACTGGAAGTCCCTCCTAGACCACCTCCTTCGACACTGGTCATTCGCCTTCTTTTTTTTTTTTTCCGAGACAGGGTTTCTCTGTGGCTTTGGAGGCTGTCCTGGAACTCGCTTGGTAGTCCAGGCTGGTCTCGAACTTACAGAGATCCGCCTGCCTCTGCCTCCCGAGTGCTGGGATTAAAGGCGTGCGCCACCAACGCCGGGCCATTCGCCTTCTTATTAGACCAATCAGGAAGGAGCCTTAGGCAGGCAAGGTAAAACAGCAACATATCTTTACATAATTAAACAAATGCACACATCTTTGCATAGTTAAACATGTCTTTGCAGCCGGGCGTTTGGTGGCGCACGTCTTTAATCCCAGCACTCGGGAGGCAGAGGCAGGTGGATCTCTGTGAGTTCGAGGCCAGCCTGGTCTACAGAGTGAGTTCCAGGACAGCCTCCAAAACAATACAGAGAAACCCTGTCTCGAAAAATGAAAGAAAAAAAAAAAAAAAACCATGTCTTTGCAAGGGGAACAGCTGAAGGCTTGGCCACACTGCGAGCCTCAATAGGCCGTTTCTCCTATAAGCCGGTGTGTGGACACAAAAACAGTGTCATCCCACATCCCTCACATTCATAGGATTTCTCTAGAGAGCTTCCTCAAGCGGTGCTGTAAGAGCTCGTGCAGATGAAGGCTTTCCCACACTGCCCTCGTGTGGACTCTGCAGTGTGTGCACGCGTTAGTGTAAGGCTATGTGGAAGCCAAAAGCTCCCCTGCCCAGTTCCTACCCATGTGGTTGATTCCCAGGAACCATTCCACCAGGTTTCTGGAATCCAACGATCTGAAGGTTTCCTTAGTGTGTATACTTACAGGGCTTCTCTGTGGTATGACCTGTCGTGCTTTTGAAGGACACTGGCGCTCACACATTGATGGCATCCACAGGGCTACTTTCCCTTCATGGTCACCTGAGGGGACGAGGGATGCTGGAAGACCCTCCCTTACAACTCCCAGGGCCTCCCGAAGTTCCTTTTCTGTCTCGGAAGACTGCAGATGAATGCAGGCTTTCCCACACTGGTAACCCTCAGGTGCACGTTATCATGTCTTCAGAGAGCTGAGGAATGGCTGATGGTCCCTCACACTCCTTACACAGGTGGCTTCTCTCCAGTGTGCCACATCACAAAGAGGCGCCGGTAAGCCTGACCTCAGTCCTGGCACTGAATGGGTTATGTCCAGGGTGAACCGTGAGAGATGAACGTTGTATGGAGACTTTGCTGGATTCAAACTATGTCTTTCAAGATGGGGATGGGGGACTTCCTGGTCCAGGTGAAGATGTAGGCCAGTGCATAAAGATGCCTCCATACTGAACATGATTTCTGTGGGGGTGGGGATAGAGTGGGGTTCATTGGTACTCCCAAGGCAGCATTCACGATCCCCCACCCTGGAGCTCTGATTGGAGGGAGCTGGTGAAGTGTGTGCTCCTGACTGGGCTAGTGCCTTTTCCGGCTCCCGATTCACTGTAACGCAGGACATGGTGCCGGGCGATCTGGCACAGTGCTATGATTGGCCGGTTTTCCAGGCTCAGCACCTAAAGGCAGAGCTGTAGTGGGATGAAGGCCCAGACCCGGTGTCAGGGAGACAGCAGGAGATGGAGTGAGAAAGCCGTGCAAGCTTTGTTGTTGGCCAGCAGCTCACAAATGACGCAGAGACTCTTAACTATGAAAGCTCACTAGCTAAGGCTTGTCCCATTAGCTCTAACTTAAATAAACCCATTTATATTCATCATCTTTTACTTTTTTTTTTTTTTTTTGGTTTTTCGAGACAGGGTTTCTCTATGGCTTTGGAGGCTGTCCTGGAACTCGAGCTGTAGACCAGGCTGGCCTGGAACTCACAGAGATCCGCCTGCCTCTGCCTCCCGAGTGCTGGGACTAAAGGCGTGCGCCACCACCGCCTGGCTCACTTGAATGTCTGACTCCCTCCATGTCTCGGCATGTGATGTGTGCCTAAATTCATCTCCCACTTCTCTCTCTGCCTGGAAGCCGGCCTATCCCTCCTGTCTAGGGTCATTCACTCTATTAGATCAACCACAGCGGGCTGGAGAGATGGCTCAGCCGTTAAAGGCTAGGCTCACAACCAAAAATAGATCAACCACAGCAATAGTTTCCCAGTGTACAAATACCACAGCAGATAGACTGAGGGGGGGGGTGCACACATGGGGGCGTGAGGTGACAGACAGATGCAGAGACAGACAGACACACAGTGGGAAAGCAACAGAGACCAGTGCATTGCCTGAGTGTCCAAGCTGGGCACAGTGGCTGTGCTGACCACCAGATGCCTAAGAGCTGCTGGGATGTGGCTCAGTGTAAGCGTGAGGGCCTGAGTTCAAATCCCCAGAACCCAGATAAAAATGGCGGGCCTTGCCAGGGCATGACAAACCACGCCTTTGAGCTCTGTGAGGGATGCCAGCCAGGGATGCATAACCCTGTGTCAAGAGGACTGTATGAGAAGCAGGAAGCTGGAGCAACGGCCCAGTGGTCAGAACACTCTGCTCCTGCAGAGGACCCAGGTTTGAGTCCCAGCACTCACACGGAAGCTCACAATCATCTGTGACTCCAGCTCCTGGGGAATTGATGCCCCTGGAGTCACAGGCAGCCATGTAGGACCAGATAAACATGTGGGTAAAAGCCACACGAGCCCTGGCAACAGCAGTGCCAGGGAGGTGGCGACGGGGGATGCCTGGGACTTGAGGGCAGCTTAGCCTCGAGGGCAAGCACCAGGCTCAGTGAGACCGTCTAGAAAACCAAGGGCGGCGTGCACGGATGCCCAAGGGACTGCAGGCGTCCCAGGGTGGGAGGCTGGGCGTCCCCGGGCGGGCTGGTCCACAGATTTGGCCATGGGGATGGGAGGGTGCTGGGAAAGGGAGCTTGCAGCTCAGCTGGACGCCCGGGAGCCATGCGGTGGAAGAACTGACTTCAAGCTACCCCTGACCTCCACAAAATACACACGTGTGCATGCAAAAGCCTACACACGCACACATAAAGGAAACAAGCAAATGTAGGAAAAGTTTAAAAATACGAAAGGAATTCCATGTTTATTGCATTGGGGGGCTTCCAGAGGCCTGCGGTCCCTTAGTGTAGATGGGTCCCTGGTGGCTCTGGATCAAGGGGTTCGGAGTGGAGTGTGTGACTGCTGATCAGGCTCATCCTGAGTCACAAGAGGTGGCAGGTGGGACACATGAATCCTCGAGGCTGGGACACAGCCTCTTCCGCCCGTGTGGGAACCCCGTGTCCCGAGATTCCCCGAAGGGACGTGGACAAGGGCCACAGTGAGACTCCCAAGGAGCTGTGCAGGGCCTGGTGGCATCGCCTGCCACCCCTGCTACTGTGGAGGCTGAGGGGGGCAGGGCGCTAGCTCCAGGCCAGCCTGAGCGACTTAGGGAGCCCAGGTTTCAAAGAAGAATCTGGAAAAGGCGAGGTGTGGTGTGTGCAAGCCCGGGCTCAGTCCTCAGCACACAAAAAACAAAACAGAAATCCCAACATGTGTGGTTCCTACAAATGCCCCTCCCACCCCACGCACGCGGGTCAGCTGGGGGCAGCCTCGGTCTTTACTCTTTTGGGGGGCCTGTGGGGTACAGAGCTGTTGGGCTCTGGCTTACACGCAGCGTGCACCGAGCCATTGAGGTGTGCAGGGGGCTCAGTCTTGGGTGCAGCTGGCCGTGGCAGGGGTGGCAGGGCCTTGTCCAGCACGCAGGGCCCGTCCCAGGCGGGGATCTCCAGCCCCAGATGTTTCATGAGCCCGCTCATCACCTCGTCCACGTAGCCATGGATGCGGAGGTCGGCCTGGCGGTCCTGTCAGGGTGACGGATAGTCGGGCGGGGCAGGGGGCATGGCAGAAAATACAGGGCCACAGGGCAGGGCACCGGTACATACGTGTTTTGTGGGCTGCAGGTTGACAATTACCAGACGGCCTCCCCGGCGCTTAGTGGCAAGGGGCAGGTTCCCACTGGGGCGGATCTGCAGCGAGGTGCCCAGGGTGACTGACAGGTCTGCGGTCCTGGGAACAGGAAGCAGTGAGGGGCTGGGGACGTGGTCGGGGTGGAGCCCCGCCTAGAATCCCCAGGGAGGGGCTAGGGTGTGGTCAGGGTGGAGCCCCCCCAGTCCCCATTGAGAGGCTGGCTCTGTGCTTGCTTAGTATTCTACACAGACCCTGAAAACAAGAAACCAAAGCTTCCTCCAGTCATCCTGTGTCCCGGTTCTCTGCGCCTGCCCCGTCCAAGGATGTAGGTGCTGCCGAGGACACTCTGCTGTCCCACCCTATCCCACGCCTGCGCCTGCGCAGCTGTCCCCACCCACCGACACCCAGGGCGTGCATGCACGGGGGTCACACCTGCTAGCCTCGTCAGCACGCATCAGGTCCCGCTCAGGCAGGGCGTCCTCCCAGTCCAGAATGGTGTCCCTCAGCTCCCCCCTGCAGCAGGTCAGGGAAGGGTTAGGGCCTCCCCTGCTGACAGGGGCAGGTGTGAGGAATGGCACTCACCTACAGGCCCTCAGTCCCCTCGCCTTGGCCACTGTGCAGAGCCGGCCCGTGGCCTTGAGGCCCATGGTGCCGACGACTGTGTCTCTCACGTATTGCCTGTACAGGAGGAAGAGCAGGATGTGACTTGCCTGTGTTCTTTCAAGGATCTGGGGGTGCTGTAACCAGCGCACTGGGGTACAGGCTCAACAGCAAGACAGACAGGCGGCTCAGTCTGGAAAGTGCTTGCCATGCGAACATGACACCCTGAGTTCGAGTCCCCAGGACCTAAGAGAGGCGGCACAACGGAGCAGATTCACCACCCCAGCTGGGGAGGCGGAGACGGGACCCAGGAGTTTCCTGGCCACTCAGCAAAACCAGTGAGACCGAGCCTCAGAACACAGCACTGGCTGCTCTTCCCGAGGACCCGTGTTCAATTCCCAGCACCCACATGGTGGCTCACAGCATCTGCAGTGAGATCTGGCGCCCTCTTCTGACATAACAGCATACATGCAGGTAGAACACTCACATATTAAGTAAATAAACCCTCAAAAACAAAAAACCAACAAAAAACACCCAAAACAACAACAACAGCAAAAAACCAAACCCTCTAGCAACAACAAAAAGACCTTTGAAGACATCTGAAGCGTCTGCCATTCACCTGTGGGGGGTGGGGTGCCCAAACATGGTGGCTCCTACCTGTCATCTCAGCACCCAGGAAGCCGAGGCAGGCTAACCTGGGCTACTTAAAGAGGGGTCAGGAGCCGAAGCTCAGGGGCACAGCTGGAACCACAGCAGGGGGTGGAGCAGTGAGAACCCTCACTTCCAAGGGTGTGGCTTGTGTCACCCCATTCTGTAGCATCTTGCTTGGGGCACCGTTAGGGAAGGGTTTGCTGCCTCACAGTTGTCTGTTTTAATCTGACTGTCAGTGGGAACAGACTCCTCCCAGCTTTCCCTAGGGCTGGTTCAGGACCCCTAAGCTGGCTCAGGGGAGGAACCTGGGAGAACCCCACCCCTCCCGGTCTCCACACGACACTCACATCTTACACTTGGGACATTCCTCTACAAACATGTTTCCGTGGAGCTCGGCCAGCTTGTCCCTGCGGAAGACCATGAGAGTCAGGGCCCTTCCTTCCAGAAAGCCTTCCCAGGCTGCTCACCCACAAGGCCTAGGCTGAGGGATTGTTACAGGTGGAGCCCACCCTACCTCTGCAAACACGAATACCTGCCCCCACTACAAAAATCCGTTGGCCAGATGGACCGTGGTGGTGCAGCTTTAACCCCAGCACTCGGGAGGCAGAAGCAGGCGGATCTGTGAGTCCCAGGACAGCCTGGGCTACAGAGAGAAACCTCTCTCGAAAAACCATACAAAAACAAAAACAAAAAATACTCTCTTGGCCTTAGAGCCCCTGCCTAGAACCCTCAGTGAGGGGCTGGGGTGTGGCCAGGGTGGAGTCACACCTGGAAACCCCGCCCTGACCAAGTGCTGGCGCCCTCAGGCTCCAGCTCTTGCCCTCTTCCCATCTCCGGTGAACTGCCCGTGAGCTCGGGCACCCTGGTCCCCGATAAGTTAGGGGTGCGGGCGCCCTCGCCCCTCGGCGCACTCCCACCTGACCTGGGGAAGCCCGAGCGTACGTGCAGCCCGTCTACGTTCTGGCTGACCAGGAAGCTGAGGAAGCCGGCGCGTTCCAGCTGGACCAGGGCCATGTGGGTCTTCGAGGGCCGGGCGCTCTCGAAGGTGGTGTCAAACTTGGGGGCCAGGCCGCGCTCCTCCATGGTCCACACGCCGTGGGGGCCTCTGAGGGAGCGGGCAGAGAGAAATCGGCACACAGGGCAAAAGCTCCTTCTTCAGTCCCGATCGCCCCAGCTCGGGGCTCTTTCCGCCCTGCCGGGGCGACGCGGGGAGCCGGGGCGACGCGGGGAGCCGGGGCGACGCGGGGAGCCGGGAGACGCGGGGAGCCGGGAGACGCGGGGAGCCGGGAGACGCGGGGAGCCGGGGAGACGCGGGGAGCCGGGGAGACGCGGGGAGCCGGGGAGACGCGGGGAGCCGGGAGACGCGGGGAGCCGGGAGACGCGGGGAGCCGGGGAGACGCGGGGAGCCGGGAGACGCGGGGAGACGGGGAGACGCGGGGAGCCGGGAGACGCGGGGAGCAGGGGAGACGCGGGCAGCAGGGGAGACGCGGGGAGCCGGGAGACGCGGGGAGACGGGGAGCCGGGGGAAGCCGGGGAGACGCGGGCAGCAGGGGAGACGCGGGCAGCAGGGGAGACGCGGGGAGACGCGGGGAGCCGGGAGACGCGGGGAGACGCGGGGAGCCGGGAGACGCGGGCAGCAGGGGAGACGCGGGCAGCAGGGGAGACGCGGGGAGCGCGGGAAGGGCTTCGTGGAGGCGGCCCAGGGCCGCCACCTCGCCGGGACACGCTCCCGGCCTCAGTTTCCCCCCTGGCTCACAGACCTGAAGTCGGGGATGCCGCAGGCGGTGCTGATGCCGGCGCCCGTGTGGAAGACGACGCGGGGGGACTGCCGCACCAGCCGCGCCAGCTCCCGCACCTTGCGCTCCAGCTCCTCGGGGGGGTCGAAGACCTGCGGGGCCGGGCGCGGCGGTCAGCGCGGCCCGGGACGCCGCCACCACGGGCGAGCCGGGATCCCTTCCGGCCCCTCCCGGGCCCCGGCCGCCCCGCTGCCGCCTGGCGACCCCGACGCCGCGGCCCTCACCTCGGGCAGCCCGCACTTGCCCTTATCCGCGTACGGCGACAGCCCCGCTGCGTAGTTCACCGACATCGCCGCCCGCACCGCCGCCCGGGAACAATAAAGTTTCCCTTGTTGAGGCCGCTTCCGCCGGAAGCGAGGAAGGGACGGCCGGGGAGGAGGAGCGGGTCTGCGGGAGCGTTGGCGGTGGAGGCAGCGTTCGCCTGGGGAGCGTGCGCCGCGCTGACGCCGCGCGCGCCATCTTTAGTGCTGGCTGCCACGCGTGCCTTCCGCAGTGCGCCCCTGGCGGCCGGCTCATCCCGGCCCAAGAAAGCGACAACGAAACCCATTACAAACAACCCCAGAAGCAAAGCCCCGCCCCTCGCGCGTACAGCCGCGGCGGGAGTTCGAAGCCCGTCGAGAGCTCGAGACACCCTGGGGCGGCCTCCGGGTCCCCGGCGCGTGGCTGCCAGCCCGTGCCTGCCCCTCTCCGGGCCCCTGCCAGCGTTTTCTCGGCCTTGTTTCTGAAGTGCGTCTCCCGGGAAGCACAGGCCAGGTCCCCAGAACGCAGCGAGTCCCACGAGTCCCACAGGGTGCAGAGAGAGAGGGAGGAGAAGGGGTGTGGGGTCACAAGGACTCCCGTGTCCCCTCCCGTCCTGACCCTGGTGCCTGCTGGTGGCCGCACTCGGGACCAGGCCATGGTGATGGCGGCTGGGGACCCGGGGCAGCACGGGAAGGCTCCGGAGGCGGCAGTCCCGGGGGCTGCCCACCTGAGCAGGCTGGCCAACAGCGGCTCGGCTCATCCCGTCCCCCGGGCGGATGCTCCCCCCACACCTGATCAGGTGTCACCCCGACTCTGCTGCTGGCGGCTCGCACTTGGAGCGGGTAACCAGAGAGGCTGAGGTGCACGCAGGGCTCTGGCCTGGAGACGCCCGAGGTAGGGGGACGAGACCCGGAGACGCCAGGGCAGACGCCGCCCTGGGTCCCACGAAAGGCGAGGCCTGGGCACTGATACTGCGCCAGGGGCTCGGGGAGGGGCTGCTTGCGACACCCCGAACACATGCACCTGTACACTCGTGACAGGCACAGGTCCCGCCCGACAGTGCGGACCTCGCTCAATGTGCAGCCTCCTCCCTGAACCATTGTGGGAACCCACAGGTCACTGGACCTGTGCTGCGATCACCTCTTCCAGGACGGAGACCCCTAAATCCACGGGCCTTCCCTGCCCCCATCCCGCGATTCCATCCTGACTGGCAACCTGGGTTTCCTGTTACTCACCCTTGAGTGTGACTGAAGTGTCACACTGAGTAGTAGAGGGGGAAGGAAGGACGAACAGGTGGATGGATGGGTGGATGGGTGGATGGATGGATGGATGGGTGGATGGATGGATGGATGGATGATGAGTGGATGGATGGATGGGTGGGTGGATGGATGAGTGGATGGATGGATGGGTGGGTGGATGAATGGATGGATGGATGGGTGGGTGGATGGATGGGTGGATGGATGGGTGGGTGGGTGAGTGGATGGATGGGTGGATGGATGGATGAGTGGATGGATGGATGGGTGGGTGGATGGGTGGATGGATGGATGGGTGGGTGGATGGGTGGGTGGATGGATGGGTGGATGGATGTGTGGATGGCTGGGTGGATGTGTGGGTGGATGGATGGGTGGATGGATGGGTGGGTGGATGGATGGGTGGGTGGATGGGTGGATGGATGGATGGGTGGGTGGGTGGGTGGGTGGATGGGTCTTCCCTGAGTGGATTTCTTTTCCTCACCAAGAGCAGTCACAAGTGTGACTGGCCTTCCTACAAGGGGCTGATTGTCAGTTGTCGCCTTCCCTCTATCCCCAGTAAGTAAAAAGCTTGTTGCTGGACAAACCTGGAAGCAGCCTGGTGGCTGCACCTTGCTGAGAAGCCAGAATCGAGGCAGAGGAAGTGCCCCAGCTGGGGAGAATACAGGTAGTTCCAATGGGGGAGTGTAGTTCATTGTGTCTGGGAGACAGAACACTGGTCAGCACATGGCGTTTTAGGAATAGTTCTACGGAGAAGCGGGAGGGGAATTCTTGGCATCAGTGGTTGCAGGAGAACAAGATTGCAGAGCTGCTTGAGCTAATGGAGTCGTGGTGATGCCTGTTACTGTCCATCAGGCTCTTCTGGGACTGCACTCTGTCTGCAAGGGTTAGCTCTTCTGTTGACAGTTCCCTCAGAGAGCAGCTCACCTTCACAGGGACGCCCAGCAGAGAGATTGGCCCTGTAGGATGAGGGCAGAGGCTGTGCTGTGCTGGGCGGTACGGCTGACCACCCCAGCGTGCTCCCTCACTCCACCCGCCCCTTCCCCAGAGACAGGACCAGAGTCCCCAGCCGGCATGATGAAGACCCTCCGGGCAAGGTTCAAGAAGACGGAGGTGAGTCTGCACACGCCCTCAGTCCCACCTCCTTCTCAAACCCCCATTGTAGCTCAGAATCCGGCCTCGGCCTTTGGCTCCTTCCACCCCGCCCGGTGCCCCTAGTAGCTGCCCCAGCAGCTTCATGGACCAGTTCTCTTTCTGCTAGCCCAAGGCTAACTCTGCCCACGGGTCCACTGACTCCCTCTGCTGGCCCAGCTCTGCTCCTCCAACCCCAGTCTGGGTCACAGTGGTCCCTGTGGCCTCCCCCCAGCGATGGTTGGAAGCAGGACCTTTGCACCTGCTAGCGAGGAGTCTGCAAGACACCCGCAATCCCTTCCCACTCCCGCTTTCGTTTGAATCCGTGTGGATTTAGCATTTCTCTGCTCCAGAAAACCTTCACAAGGATTCTTCAGGGAATGAACTTACATTATCTGCGTTTGACAGGTGAAGGGACGCTCAGAGATGGTGTGGGCGCTGCACAAAGTCACACAGCTTGGAAGGGTCCTGCCTCCTGTGGGGGCTGGGCACCTGTGGATGTGACCTGCACCGGGAATGGGGATGGAAGGGTTTGGAGAGAGACAGAGAGAGAGAGAGAGAGAGAGAGAGAGAGAGAGAGAGAGAGAGAGAGAGAGAGAGAGAGAGAGAGAGAGAGAGAGAGAGAGAGAGAGAGAGAGAGAGAGCGAGAGTGGTCACTTTCCTATACAGTAAGGCTGGGCTGGCTGCCTAATATTTTCCAACTGGTCACTCACTTCCTTAGATATTTTTCTTTTTCCTTCCTTCCTTCCTTCCTTCCTTCCTTTCTTTCTTTCTTTCTTCTTTCTTTCTTTCTTTTTTTCGAGACAGGGTTTCTCTGTGGCTTTGGAGGCTGTCCTGGAACTCACTCTTGTGGACCAGGCTGGCCTCGAACTCACAGAGATCCGCCTGCCTCTGCCTCCCGAGTGCTGGGACTAAAGGCGTGCGCCACCAACGCCCGGCTAGATATATTTTTCATAGAATCACGGCCAGCTGGCCGTGTGTGCAGTACCCGCAGAGGCCGGGAGGGGCGTAGGTCCCCATAACTGGATTCACAGGCTGTTGTGGGCCCGGAATGGGTGCTGGGAACGGCACCCTAGGTCCTCTTCAGGGGCAGCCCGTGCGCTAACTGCTGAGTATCTCTCCTGAATTTGATTCCCAGAATCCCCTGATGGAAGGAGGAAAATGACTTCTCAAAGTTGTCCTCTGACCTGTGCCTCTGTGCACCTGTGTACACACCCACAGAGATGTAGTTTTCAAATCAAAGGAGAAAATACTTTCTGAAAAGCTGAATTAGACCAGCTGTGAGAGTGCACGCCTTTAACCCCAGCACTCGGGAGGCAGAGGCAGGCAGATCTCTGTGAGTTCGAGGCCAGCCTGGTCTACAGAGCGAGTTCCAGGACAGGCTCCAAAGAAACCTGTTGGAAAAAAGGTCTGCCTATTTAAAAAGCTGACTTATTTCGAGATGTTGCAGCTCACCCCTGATGAGAGGCACCTAGCTTGGGATGGAACACGGGTGTGTTTCTGGGTGCTGAACGGGCAGTGTTGGTGTGGGTGGGGCAGGGGCGCGGGGCCACCTGGGCAGCAGATGGGAGACCTGTCCTGCCCCCGCCCACCCGTCTCCGGTTTCTCTGCAGCAGCTTTTGTCACAGCAGCCCCAGGGGAAGAAAGCGAACACCCGTGGCTGCCTCCCTGGCGCCCTGGGCTTCTGAGTCCCCCTCCTGGGGTGGCCAAGTGCCAGGCTGCATACCAGCAGGTGTCCCCACGCTGTCCCGCCAGGGCTCCAGCGGGGGCGCAGCGGGCTCTGGGCATTGGTTTCTCTTGTCCAGAGCGGGAATCACCTTATCTGGGGCCCTCGCTGGCCTTCTGATCTTATTTGAGAAGGATCCCTCCAGGGCAATGAGGGAGGCATGTAAAGATTTGTTGGTGCTGTCCTTGTAGCCCAGGCTGGCCTTGCCTGCCTCTGCTTCCCAAGTCCTAGGATTAAAGGCGTGTGCCACCATGCCTAAATCAGTAGTCTCTCTCTCTCTCTGTCTCTCTCTTTCTCTCTCTGTCTCTCTCTCTGTGTCTGTCTGTCTCTCTGTCTGTCTGTCTCTCTCTGTCTCTGTCTCTGTCAGCGTGGTGTGTGTGTGTGTGCGCGTGTGCGTGCATGCACGCATGTGCCAGGACTCTCCCACCCGCCCAGGGCCCAGAGTGTTGAGGGACAGGGAGGAAGGACTAGCTTGTTAGGGAAACCACATTGGTAACTGTGTAAGGCTTCTGGATGAGCTCCTCACTTCACCCCGAGTTCTGCCTGTCAGGGCACAGTATCTGTCGTGTGTCACTGTCTGCTGCCCTGTCCCCAAGACACCTTCTATAGCGCCAGCTACCTGCACAGAAGCCGCAGAGCCTTGACTCTGAGTTTCCGAGACATCCAGTAGTCACTCAATAAAGGCAGAACAGGATAGCCTCTGCCCAGGGCTGCGACGTGGTGCCCAGCCCCCTCCCCCTGCGGCAGGCCGTGGGGTGCCTCTGTGGGTCCTGCGTGGGGGGCTCTAATTCCAGCCGAGGCGTGACAGGGCCCGCGGACCCTGGAGACAGAAAGCGGGTCGCGCCCTGTCTCTCAGTTGATCTGGGTTGGGTGCGTGAGGCGCAGCCTTTTCCGTGTCCTTCCGTGTACCCGGCCTGTGCCGGCCGGTGCGAGCCGCCCAGCTCGGACCTCCAGAGCTGTGTCTGGCAGGTCTGCAGGAAACCCGCTGCGCTCGTGAGGCGGGCGGAGGCCCCAGCAGGTGAAGTCTAGGTCAGGCCCGTAGGTGGATATGGGCGGGGCAGGCACGGGTTCAAGTTCAGAGTGAGAGCCGCTGGAGGGGAGCAAGTGGTGGGAGTGTGGGTGGATGGACCGGAGGGCAGAGGAGTGAGTGGGTGAAGTGAGCGAGCCGTGAGAAGATGGCTTAGTCAACCGGGGTGAGGAAATTAGCGAGAGGATGTGTGAACGAATGAATGAAAAGATAGACCTGAGCGATGGACGAATGAATGACGGGCTAGGCGGAGCCGGGGGCGGAGCTGGGCAGGGCCGGCGCCTGGGGACGAGGGCGGGGCCATGATCTAGGGGATGTGGGCGTGGTCTTGTCTGGCGCTTTCACCATGAAGCAGCTGTGCCTGTGCGCGGCCGCCTCCTTCACGGTAGGCACTTGTGCCCCTCTGCGCCTTCCCCTCCTTCCCGGGAAGATGCTCCGCGGGGCGGGGAGCGGGGCAGCTGCGGGGCGCGGGCCGGACGTGGAGGGCTGCGCCGAGGGCCTCTGTGCGGGCGCGGGGTCAGCCGGGCGTTGCGAGGTGCAGGTCTTGTAGGACACTGCGGACAGTGACCTGGGAACAGTCCCTGCTCCTGGGCAGGGAGCGAGCTTGGGAACATTTGCCGTTGCAGCCGGCCAAGCCTCAATGCCATGGGGGGGCGATGGGACCTTGGCAGAGCAGCTGTGAAGTGCAGGGCCGGTGGGCGGGGGTGGGGCGTGGGGGGTGGTCGTGGAGAGTGCTTGGGAAAGGCCGGTCACCCCAGCGTTTGGAGGCTGGGCCAGGGCAATCTTTAATTTGAGGCTAGTCGGACCACATAGTGAGACTCTGTGTCAAAAAACTAAAAGACAGTAAAATAATTGTGGACGAGGGGCGGGGCGATGGGTCAGTGGGTCAGACTTAGCACCCACAAAGCCCTGGCTTCTCTGCATAAACCAGGTGCGATGGTTCACACCTCTCATCCCAGCCCTGCGGAGGGGGGAGGCAGGAAGATCAGGAATTCAAGGTCATCCTTGGCTCACAGGGGTTTTGAAGCCACCCTGGGCTACATAACACCCGATCCCGCTTCAAAAAACCAGAAACTCGCATTTAATCCCAGCACTCTGGGAGCAGGAGGGCAGCTAGCCTGATCTGCCATAGAGACAGCCGCTGTCCCCCAAAAGGTGGGGCGCTGTCTTATAAAACTGGCTTTGGCTTAAGTTAGGATGAGGGGATGTGGTTTGAGGACAGACATTTGGAAGACACATGCTGAGGGATGCAGGTTTCAGAGACGATGTCTCGAGGCCCCCAGCCAGGACCACCTACCCCACAGCTCCGGCTCAGCCCTACCGACCTCGGCTCCTGCCCGCCCTGTGGTCCATGCCCTATCCCGAAACCCGCAGCAAGAGGCAGGCGCCAGGCAAGTGCCCAGGAATGGGTGGGTGAGAACGCGGATAACTGCCCCTGTTCCTTGGTGGGGAGGGGACAGGGACCCATTGAGTCCCATGCACCTCTGGGTGTGCCGCTGCAGGGCCAAGACTGGGGCAAAAGTGACCAGCGCCTGCTCCAGGCCGTGGAGAACAACGATGCCGCCAGAGTAGTTTCGTTGATCGCCCATAAGGGGCTGGTGCCCACAAAACTGGACCCCGAGGGCAAGTCTGCGTGAGTGCCTAAGCCCTGGGACCGGGGAGGCTTTGGACACTCTTCTGGGAGTGACCCCTAACTCACGCCTCCAGGTTTCACTTAGCTGCCATGAGGGGCGCCGCGGGCTGTCTGGAGGTGATGCTGGCTCAAGGCTCAGACGTCATGAGTACAGACGGAGCAGGTACTTCCGCACTGCCTGGGTGATGCAGGGCTGTATCAGCTGTCCAGAGAGGGACCACAGGGCCAACCGTAGGATCTCCCTGCCCACACTGAGTTTGTAGCTCAGCGGGCAGGACACTCAGCAAGCACAGGGCAGTCCTGGGGTCCGGCCGTCCGCCGCTGGCACGCACCTGTTACCCCAGCACTGAGTGGAGGCACAGGCATCAGGAGCTCAAGTGGTCCTCAGCTGTATGTGAGCTGGAGGCCAACTTGGCCTATACGAGACTTACCTTAAACCCAGCATCTGGGTGGCAGGCCAGCCTGGGCTACATAACAAGACCCTGAATGGAAAGACAACAGACTGCACAAAAGTCCCTGGGAGCAGCTGGTTTAAGAAGTAGCTGAGTTTGGAAGTTCAGGCGTGGGAGGGGCTGAGCACACCTGGAGGACACTGCCCATCTCCTCTTCCCTCAGGTTACAACGCCCTTCACCTGGCAGCCAAGTATGGGCACCCTGAGTGCCTGAAGCAACTCTTGGAGGTCCTGATGCCCATTCTCTGTTCATATGGAACTCCGGTTACTTCCCCAAACCCCAGCTGCTCCTGGTCCCCCAGCTTTGTCACTTCTGTTACTGTCATCCAAGTAGGGTCACCTGGGGGGCTGGAAGGTGGGGAAGCGGAAAGAAAGCCAAGGGTCTGGAGAGGTCGCTCAGTGGTTAGAGCACTGGCTGGTCTCAGAGAGGACCAGGGTTCCCAGCACGCACCCACATGGAGGCTCACAACCATCTGTAACTCCAGATCCCAGAGACCCTGCTCCCCCTTCTGGCTTCCTCGGGCACTTATGTGCGCGCACACACACACACACACACACACACACATGTACATGCACACAAAACAGATCTGAAAAAAATAACGAATCTGGCCGGGCGGTGGTGGCACAGCCTTTAATCCCAGCACTCGGGAGGCAGAGGCAGGCGGATCTCTGTGAGTTCGAGACCAGCCTGGTCTACAGAATGAGTTCCAGGACAGCCTCCAAAGCCACAGAGAAACCCTGTCTCAAAAAACCAAAAACAAAAAGAAACAAACAAAAGAATCTGTGGGCCAGTGGGATCTCACCAGGTAGCAGTACTTGCCCCAAGCCTGATGACCTGATTTTGTTCTCTGGGAACCAATGGAAGGAGAGAACAGTCTCCCACAGGTTGTCTTCCGTTCTCGGCAGCATGCACACACAGAAACAAAGGCAACAGGAATTTAAAGAAAAGAGCCCGAGATACAGCAGAGCCCAGGGGAGTGGGGAGGCCCAGATATCAGTCACTCAGGAAATAGAGATGATATCACCCGTCCCTCCTTCCCAGGCTTCCTGCATGGTGGACATTGAGGACAGCAGTGGGTGGACAGCTCTTCACCATGCAGGTGGGTACAGCCAGGGTCTGCCAAATTCAAGGAAGGTTCTCTGCCAATGAAACACGCCCCCAAGCCCCTCACTGGGATTCTAGGGGGGGGCTCCACCCTGACCACGCCCCCAGCCCCCTCATTGGGGATTCTAGGTGGGGCTCTATTTCTGACCTGCAGCCCCAGATCTTTTCTTAAGTTTTCATGGATGTGTGTGGCAGGTGGAGGTCAAAAGGCAGTCTAAGTGTTATGTCAGGGGCCTCCTCCACCTCTTGTGAGGCAGGGACTCTCTGGACCTGGCCTTCACAATTTAAGCTAGGTTGACTGACGAGTAAACCTTGGATCCTTTTGCCTCTGCCTCCCTCAGGTCTCTTACAGACTGAGCCATCTTCCCAGCCCTCTTCTTACTTACATTGATATGGAGTCTCTCTTTGTAGTAGAGGCTAGCCTCGAAGCTGGGGTCCCCGCCCCAGCCTCGGAGCTGCTGGGTGACAGGTGTGGGCTATGGTCTTTAGTTGTTTCGCTAGTTTGGTGTACAGCACAGGGCTCAGCTCGAACCACAGGCTCCATCTGAACCAGGCCTTTTGTACAAAGAAGCAGATGCGCCAGTGGGTGGACAAAGTAGGGTGGCTGGAGCCCCACATCTTTCCAGAACCTCCCGGGTGCCTTGCAGGCAGGCAGCCCCTCCAGCCCAGACCCCGCTGTCCTCAGAGCAGACTGACTGCCGGAGCCCATGAGGACAGGGTCCAGGCCTGCAGACCCCGCGGGGTACAACCCACTGCTCCTGTGTGGGTCCCTAAGTCCCCAGTCAGAGTGGCATCTTCAGGTGGTGTCCATGCCCACAGGCACTCTAGGGGATGTTTTAAAACATTAAATTGCATTTATTTGTTTATTGCAAGATAGGGACGTCTGTGTTATGTGCTTGTGTGAAGTTGGAGGAAGACTTTTGGGAATGGGTTCTGTCTCCCAGCAGGTGTGTACTGGGGATTGAACTCAGGTCGGTGGGCTTGGCAGCAAGCACCTTTACCAGCTGAATAATCTTCCTGGTTCACTTCTATTTATTTATTTATTTATTTATTTTTGGTTTTTCGAGACAGGGTTTCTCTCTGTAGCCCTGGCTGTCCTGGAACTTGCTCTCATAGACCAGGCTGGCCTCGAACTCACAGAGATTTGCCTGCCTCTACCTCCTGAGTGCTGGGATTAAAGGTGCACACTACCCCTGCCTAGCTGATTTAAAAATTTTTTTTCGTTTTTGGCTTTACAAGACAGGGTTTCTCTGTATTGTTTTGGAGGCTGTCGGTCCAGCCTGGCCTCGAACTCACAGAGATCCGCCTGCCTCTGCCTCTCGAGTGCTGGGATTAAAGGCGTGCGCCACCACCGCCCGGCCGTTAAATTAAAAAAAAATGTATTTACAATGTTTTTTATGTGATGAGTATTTTGCTTGCATGCATGTCGGTGCCCTAAGCCGGAAGGGGGCATCACGTCCCCTGGAACTGAAGTCACAGATGGTTCTGAACTACCACGTGGGTGCTGGGAACCAAGCCCAGGTCCTTTGCAGCAGTAGCTGGTGCTCTAACCATTGAACCATTGCTCCAGCCTCCAGCTGCTGGCATGACCGGTGTTAGCTGCCATGCTGCAGAGTGAGTTCCAGACCACCCCAGGCTGCAGACTAAGATCCTGTCTCAGCAACAAACATTAAGGTGTCCACTCAGTTTTCTGTCTCCTGCTTTCCCCAGCGGCTGGCGGCTGTCTGTCCTGCTCACAGCTGCTCTGCTCTTTCAAGGCACACATGAACCCGCGGGATCGGGTGAGCTTCCGGGATCTTGGGGGTATACAATACTATCCTTGGGTGGCAGCCACCAGGCGTCGTCTGCAAGACGAGGGTAACATCACTCATGCCATCTCATCCTCCCTATCAGTCGGGTGCCACGCCCCTCATCATAGCAGCTCAGATGTGTCACACGGATCTGTGCCGTCTCCTTCTACAGCAGGGGGCTGCAGCAAATGACCAGGACCTGCAAGGCAGGTGAGCTCCTCCCTCCCTCCCTTCCCATCATGTGCTGTGTGACTTGGACCTCTCTGAGCCAAGGAACTAGGAAGCCTCTTTCATCTCTTCCTGGTGTGTGTTTGGAGGAGGGTTTAAGGGGTCGGGGACAGCCTCTGCCCCCTCAGCACCCCCTTGCCCCCACAGGACAGCTTTGATGCTGGCATGTGAGGGAGGCAGCCCCGAGACGGTTGAAGTACTCCTGCAGGGTGGAGCCCAGCCGGGCATCACTGATGTACTGGGCCAGGACGCCGCTCACTACGGAGCCCTGACTGGGGACAAATCCATCTTGCAGCTTCTACAGGAGTCTGCGCAGCACGCTTCGCCTCCCAGTGGTGTGCAAGCCCTCCCCTCCTCACGGGTCTCCTTGCAGGCAGTCCCTGGTCATCCCCTTCTTTGCTTGTCACTGATAGTTTCAAGGTACCCGATCTGCTGGGCCATGAAAATTTTCCTTTCCCCTGCTCAGGGCAGTTTCAAGGAGCCCCAGAGGACTTAAGAGTGGTCTGAAGGTCCACTGTGATTCATTGGGTCACCCTTAGTATGGACACTTCCTTTCCTAAGAGGTGACAACCCTCCCTGCCCCCCCTCCACTGCCCTGAGAGTCTGAGGCCCTCCTCACCCAGGGTTCCTTCCACCTTAATGTTCCCGATTCAGAGGCGGGGCTTTGAGGTCCACGCCCGGCGACTAGAGAAGTGTGAGATCTGAGTTCGTGGGTAGCCGAGGCCACATAGTGAGACCCCCCCCACCCCACCCCAGAACGACAACAACAAGAACACTAGTTCTTGGGACGCTGCAGAGCCCTCGAGCACCGGGGACTGACCAGCGCCCTTCCTGGAGCTGGGAACAGAACGGCCCCTGACTCTGCTCCCCTTCTGTCCCAGCCTCTCTAGAGGAAGACTCCGGAGAGGCCTCGTCTCAGGTAGGAACCTGGAAGGGCTGACACTGCTCTGTACCGGCCCCACACTCACTAATCGTCCCCCACCCCAAAGGAAGAGACAGCCGCACAAGGACAGAGCTGTCACCGCTACTCCGGGAAGTGCTGCCGCCCAGTGGCGGTCACGCGAATACCAGCAATCCTACAAACTGGGAACCGTGGGGCTCGGAGCGGTTCAGGCGTAGGAGGAGGAGACGAGCCTGGCCGCCTCCACGCCCCCGCCCCCGGTCCTGTGTGCCAGGCTTCACGGGGATAGAAAATGTCGTAGAGGGCAAGAGAGCCAGGGAAAGGCGCACAGCCAATGCGGGAGACGGGACGAGTGGGGTGTCCGGGAGGGGCTGCGGCCGCTGACGGCTGGGGGATGGCCACAGTGGGCCCCTGAGTGGATCCTGGCCCAGGCCCCTGGACTATGTCCCCCTGTGCCCGCCCCAGAACTCCGTGTCCAGCCATGAGAAGCGAGGGGCCCCCAAGAAGCGCAAGGCACCCCAGCCTCCAGCCAGCATGCCTGTTCCCGTAAGAGATGGGGTGGCCTGGGGTGGGAGGGGGCTCCGCCTCACACCCAGGATGGCACGGCCCGGGATACCTCGCCCAAAGTGACTTCCGCCGGTGGGGAGGGGACAGGACGATCGGGACGCCTATGAGGAGATTGTGCGCCTGCGCCAAGAGCGAGGCCGGCTCCTGCAGAAGATCAGGGGCCTGGAGCAGCACGAGGAGCGGAGGAGAAGGGAGGTTAGGAGGCTGCAAGACCCGAGGTCTGCGTGGGGGGCTATCTCGGCACACCACACCGGCTCCCTCCGCTCCAGGCCCCTCCCTGGCCGCCCCGCACGCCAGCCTCTGCCCTGCCTCTGGGCCTTTGCATGTGGTGTTTGCAGTAGGGAGCGCTGTCTGTCTGCTGTCCCCAAGCTCTGCTCCTCGTAGTCTCTGCTTGTTACCGCTTCCCCAGCCCACCTTATCTAAAGCCACAGCCTCATTGTCAGCTCCCTTCACGTCCACCACAGCGCTAGCCACGCAAAGGCACGACCACGGCACACTCAGGTCAAAGTGCCACGCTCAGAGCGGATAAACGCTGCGTGGATGACTGGCCCAGGGCGAGGAGTGGATGACCGAGTGAGTGATGACCGAGTGAGTGATGACCGAGTGAGTGGATGGAGACCGAGTGAGTGATGACCGAGTGAGTGATGACCGAGTGAGTGGATGGAGCAGGCACTTGAATGAGTGAGCCCACAGCAGGTGCTCAGTGCATGCGGAGAACACTCACGGCTGACAGACACTGGGGGGCGCACGGTTATCCAGCCCCAACCACTTCTGCCCTCAGCCCCTGGAAGCAGAGGCCAGCTCAGTGCGCAGCCTGGAGAGGCAGGTAGGCGGGGCGGGCCACAGCTGGGAGGGCCCAGGGTCCTGGATTTCAGGGCCCAGGGTCCCTAAGTGCTGACCTTGGCTCTGCAGGTGCGGGAGCTGCAGCAGCTGCTGGCGGAGAGGCAGGAGGAGAAGGAGAGCCTGGGCCGGGAGGTGGAGAGCCTGCAGAGCCGCCTGTCCCTGCTGGAGGTGTGTGTGTGGGGGGTAGGGGACACGGCAGAGCCGCCTGTCCCTGCTGGAGGTGTGTGTGTGGGGGGTAGGGGACACGGCAGAGCCGCCTGTCCCTGCGGGATGTGTGTGTGTGGGGGGTAGGGGACACGGCAGAGCCGCCTGTCCCTGCGGGATGTGTGTGTGTGGGGGGTAGGGGACACGGCAGAGCCGCCTGTCCCTGCGGGATGTGTGTGTGTGGGGGGTAGGGGACACGGCAGAGCCGCCTGTCCCTGCTGGAGGTGTGTGTGTGTGGGGGTAGGGGACACGGCAGAGCCGCCTGTCCCTGCGGGAGGTGTGTGTGTGGGGGGGTAGGGGACACGGCAGAGCCGCCTGTCCCTGCTGGAGGTGTGTGTGTGGGGGGGTAGGGGACACGGCAGAGCCGCCTGTCCCTGCGGGAGGTGTGGGGGGGGGTAGGGGACACGGCAAGAAGGCGGGCAGACTGGGATCAAAGACTGGGTGGGGTTGGGGCCTGGAACGGGAATAGAGATGTGGGGAAGTGTGCGGACAGGGACAGGTAGGGGTGGCATGGGCCATCATGAGTGTAAGCGCCCGTGCCGGGGGCCACAGCAGAGGAATGGGAAGGCCAGGGCAGGGGTGGGGAAGCCAGGACGGCCCGGAGCTTGGCAAATGGAATGGAGTGTCAGTCGGTGCTGTGGGAGCTTTGCTCCGGCAGGCACCTCGGTGCAGCCACAATGTCCTGGTCACACACGGCTTCCACAGGCCCACACACCTGTGAGGACTTTCCAAACACACACGACACACGAATCCCACACGCCTTGCGTGTATAAGTCTCACAGTCACACAAGGGCCACACGTCTCAAACCTACCTCACACTGCTCAAAGTGTACAATGAGTCACTGAGATAGACCAGCGGGTACAGGGGCATGCTGCCCTCCACACGGACCGGAGTTCACTTCTGCTCGGGGGAGGAGGGAACAAGTCTCAAGCTGCTCTCTGGCTGCCAGCTACGCACCGTAGCAGATAAACACGAAAGAACTAACACGACTTTGTAAGTGAATCATTCCACAGACATTCAGAGATGACCCTCAGTCGGTGAGGCGCTGGGACTCAAGCTCAGGCAGGCCTTGCCCACAAGCCGGGTGAGCGCTTGCCTAGCGTGGGCAAAGCCCCTGTCCACCCGCCTCTCCGGAGACATGGAGCGCATACTGGGATGTCAGTGAATGCAGCCACACAGTCAGGCGTCTCCAGGGCGTTGTGTGGATAGATATATGAACACCCCAGGTCTGGGAGGTGATGGTATCGGGGCCAGACCTGAAGGTGGACTTTGAACTCCACCCCTAGAACGAGAGAGAGAACACCAGTTACGATGTGGCCACCCTGCAGGATGAGGAGGCTGAGATGCCCGGCTCCCCAGGTGAGCTCTGACCCCTCCACCTCCCCACTGCTGCCCGCCTGGGATTCTGAGGGGCTGTGGCGGGCAGAGGCATGGCCTCGAATGGAGGGTATGATGCCAGGCGAGTGGCGCGCACACAGAGAGAGAGAGAGAGACAGAGACGGAGAGACAGAGACGGAGTGTGTCTCCTGAGCCCTGTCTTTGACGGTGTGTGTTCCCACCTGAATCACTGCTCTCCCCGACCCTGCCAGGCACTGACACGTTGCTGTCAAAGCACCTGCGCGGCCCGGCCGAGGAGCTGGTGGCTTCCCTGCAGGAGCAGGTGGCTCAGCTCACCAGGCAGAACCAGGAGCTGCTGGAGAAGGTCCAGGTAGGGAAACTGAGGCAGTGCTCAGCTCTGGGGACCTTGGGGTGGGCGGGGAACATGGTGAGTGGGTTCCTTAGCCTGCCTGCGTCCCCACCCCAGATTCTTGAGGAGTTTGAGAAGGACGAGGTGCAGATGGCGGGGGACAGTCAGCCGGAGGCGGTTCCTCTGCTGTTGTACGACCTCCTGCGGGCAGAGCTTGAGCAGCTCCGGCAGCAGCACGCCGACGCCATGCACACACTGCAGCAGCGGCAGGAGGTGACCGGGGGCCACGCGGGAGCAGAGACAGCACATACAGAGAGCAGGGACAAGGGGACCTCCACCCAGAATGGCCCCAGCGTCCCGGAGGTCAACGGCACCACGTATCCAGAAACCACAGCAAATGGCACTGCACTCCACACAGGAGGCCCCGTGGGTGTCGGGAGCTCAGAAGCCAGTCATTCGGAGGCGGCGCTCACGGAGTCTGAGGCTACGGGGAAAGGTGGAGTGGCAGCCGATGCCGTGGACACTAGAACCACTGTGATCCAGGCCCTGGACACGAAAGCTGTAGGTGACAACGCTGAAAGCGAGCTGGTGGCCGCGGAAAGCACAGGAGGGAGAGAGAATCCAGGAGTGGAGGCTGACGGGGCGCGTGTGGTGCCCGAGGGGCTCGCGGGTACAGGGATTACAGACGTGGCGGCCACGGGAGCAGAGGCCACGGAATTGCGGGACACCGGAGTCCAGGCCACGGGGGCAGAGACCACGGCAGCGAAGGCCACGGAATTGCGGGACACCGCAGTCCAGGCCACGGGGGCAGAGGCCATGGCAGTGAAGACCGCAGGAGTGCAGGCTACTGTGGCCGAGGTCACAGGAGTGAAGGTCATAGGGGTGCAGGCCACGGAGACCGGGGCCATCGGAGTCAAGGCCACTGGAGCCGAAGCCACCGGGGCGCAGGCCACTGTGACAGAGGGTAAGAGAGGCGAGGCTACGGGAGCGCGGGCCACCGCGATGGAGACCAATGGAGCCGAAGCCACCCGCACCGAGGGCCCCTGCGCTGCGGTCCTGCACCCGGGGGCGGCGGCGGCGGCGCTGCAGGCCGAGCTGGAGGCCCGGATCCTCGGCCTGGAAGAGGCGCTGCGCCGGCGCGAGTGGGAGGCGGCAGCCGAGCTGGAGGCTGCCAGGGGCCTCTTGGCGGAGGCGGAGGCGGAGGCGACCCAGGGGCGGAACCGCGAACTGGAGGCGCTGCGGGAGCTGCTGGCCACGGCCACGGCCACAGGCGAGCACGCACGCGCGGAGGCGGCCGAGTTGCGCCGAGCGCTTTCGGCTTCCGAGGCTCGGGTTGCAGAGCTGAGCTCCGCCCACGCCGCCGCCCGCGAGGAGATGGAGCGCATGCGCGGGACCTGGGTGCCTGCGGACGAGCACGAGCGGGCTCTAGGCGCGCTGCGCGATCACGTGACCCGGCTGCAGGCGCAGCTGGCGGAGCTGGCGCGCAGGCACGAGAGGACCAGCGCGGAGGTTTTCCAGGTGAGCGCACTCGCCTGGCTGCTCTGACGGTGTATTTCCGCATCCAGTGCACATGCGTAGTTTCCGCGAGGCCAGAAGAGGGCGTCGGATCCGAACCTCGGACTTGCAGACTTGAGCCGCAATGTGGGTGCTTGGAACCGAACCTAGGTCTTGTGCAAGAGCAGCCGCTGCTCCGATCCCTTTGCCATCTCTTCAGCCCTTAACTTTTCCATTTAGATGTATTATTCTTTCGTTACGTGTGTGCACACGCTGGTATGGTGAAGCAGTCAGCTGGCAGCCTGTGGGACCCAGTCTTCTCCTTCCACCGTGTGGGTGCTGAGGACCAAACTAACACTGTCAGGCTTTGCTGCAAGCGCCCTTACCCGCTGAGCCATCCCCAAGCTCTGGCCTTCTCCCCCTTTTTTGGGTGTGTGTATGTTGTTTTTATAAGACTCAAGTAGTGCAGGCTGACCTTGAACTCATGACGCTCTTGCCTCCACCTCCCAATTATGCGGATGACAGGTCTCACCAGGACCTGTTTATCCAGCGGCCTGGTGCCCGCTGGGCTTTACCCACTGAGAGCCGTGGGAGCTGAAGACTGTAGCAGACTTGGTGACGCCCAGCTGCGCAGGAAACCCTGTCTCAACAGAACAATGCACACAGAAGAGTCCCTTACGAGGGGGTAGTGTGTGTCCTGAGACAGAGTCGCGCACAGCTGCCTGTGTCCTTGATTCACGATGTAGCCCTCAAACTCCTGATCCTCCTGCCTTAGCCTCCCGAGTACCTGGATCCAGGCTTGCACCACCGACTCAGAAAGCTGAACACAGGCTTAGCCACCTGCCTAGGGACGCACACCTCGTAGCCAGAGGTGCATGGCAGGACCAGAGTGTCCCTGGGGCCGGGTGGGGAAACCGTCCTGGAGGGGGGGGGGCAAAGCCGTCAGCCCTCTGCAGGGGTGGGGAGAACCCTGGATCCGAGCTTCTTTGGGTCTAAATGTCCTGAGAGTCACATGTGGACTTGGGCCACAGGTGCAGCGTGAGGCACTGTTTATGAAGAGCGAGAGGCACGCGGCCGAGGCCCAGCTGGCCACGGCTGAGCAGCAGCTCCGAGGGCTTCGCGCAGAGGCGGAGAGGGCACGCCAGGCCCAGAGCCGTGCCCAGGAGGCCCTGGACAAGGCCAAGGAGAAGGACAGGAAGGTGGGTTCCCTCCGGCTCACTACTGGGGCCTGTCAGCCAAGAAACCAGCATACTTACTCCACGGGAAGTAAGGCACAGAGAAGAGGCTCAGTTAGACCCACTCTGGTTGTCATGGTAACCATGGTACCGGGCGTGGCTCACTTCCTGCTCTCTAATTATCCCCTTTGGAAGTAACAGGCACAGAGAGGTAAGTCCACTCACCAAGGTCACACAGCCACTGAATGGATCGTAAGCTGGGATTCGAACCCAGATTTCCCATCCTTAAGGTTTAGAAGGTTTTAAGACTATACGTATTTCTCTAGTTGGGGGTCAGGGCCTGTGGAGTTCAGAGGACAGCTCACCTACCTCTGTGTTCTCCTTCAACCATGTGCGCCCCAGAGATGGAACTCGGGTAGAGAAACAAGCTTGGCAGCATGAGCCTTACCCACAGGACCCTCACTGGCAACCAGTCGTATCTTTTTCCGTGTGCTCTTTGTGGAGGTCACAGATCCACACGGGGCACCCCATAATGGGAGATTAAAATTCAAGTTGCGTTTACGGGTTACTGAGTGTAGGTAGCCAGGCACTTCCAGACTGTAGTGCTCCCCAGACGGGCCAGCAAGGACTGGCAGCGAGGGGAGGCTGGTGTTTTCTATGAAGGGCCAATAAGACAGTTGTCTGCAGCCGGGCGGTGGTGTGCACGCCTTTAATCCCAGCACTCGGGAGGCAGAGGCAGGCGGATCTCTGTAAGTTCGAGACCAGCCTGGTCTACAGAGAAAGTTCCAGGACAGCCTCCAAAGCCACAGAGAAACCCTGTCTCGAAAAACCAAAGGGGGGAAAAAAAAGATAGTTGTCTGCTTCCTGTTTGCTGCGAGCAGACAGGGACATGTGTCAATAAAACTTTAATGAACATCCAAATGTGATTAGGAATCCTTTCAAGGGTCACCAAATAGATCTTTTTTGGGTCTCTTTTTTTTCTCCCCCAGACATTTAAAAACTCGAGGACCGTTTTCAGCCCTCCAGTTGTACAAATGCAAGTTCCCAGTCAGCTCAGCTCCCGGCTCAAATCAGTGACCTTTTACAAAGCAGAGGTCCCTGGTCCCTGCCTGGCCACTCACGAGTTCCCCCACCCTGCAGATCACAGAACTGTCCAAAGAAGTCTTCACACTGAAGGAGTCTCTCAAGGCACAGCAGGCAGCCCCTGCCAGCTCCCAGGAGGAGGAGGCCCTGCGAGGCCAGATGACAGCTTTGCAGCAGCGGATGGAGGTACCACTCTGCAGCAGGGGAAGGGCGATGGGAGCCACAGACTGGGATGGCTGGCAGGATCCAGGATGGTCAGGGCGCCTCAGGGTCACTTCCCTGACTCGGACATCAGCAGCCGCTGAACATGGGGTTTTGACTCAGGTGGAGACATGTGGGTGTGTCTTGCTGCGGGTGGCCTCCCCTTCCAAATTCTCCTCCTGTCCCGCTCCCCTCCCCTCCCACCTCCCCACCTTTCTTTTGAGGCAGGGTCTCTCGTGGCCCAGGCTGACCTCAATGGCCTCACTATGTAGCCAGGGATGAGCCTAGGCCTCTGAGCCCTTTGCCTCCCCATCCCCGTGTCCACAGGAGGTGGCCCGGGAGCACGGTGCTGTGGTGGCTTTATACCGCTCTCATCTCCTGTGTGCCATTCAGGTGAGTTCCCGCCTCCTGACTCCATGTCAGGGTGCCAACCCAGCTTCATGACTCTGCACTGCCTGGGTCGGTTCCCCTCCGTTCTGGGAGCATCCCTGTGTACAGACAGCTGGGGCAGCGCTGATTCCCTTGGGTTTGAGGACGGGGATTTCTGGGGCACGGGGCTCACCTAGCTGGTGCACCAGGGCTTTTCTCTGCCTGCCAACCCGTCTCACCGCAGGGACAGATGGATGAGGACGTGCAGGGCATTCTCAGCCAGATCCTGCAGATGCAGCGGCTGCAGGCTCAGGGCCGCTGAGGACACAGCTCAGCTGCTCAGCCTCCACCCTTCACCTTTTCAAGCTGAAGCCACAGAGACCACTTTCTCCGTCCCCCAGGGTGATGAATGGACTCATCCTACACTGGGAGACCAGCCTGGGACCAATGGTTCCCAGCTGCTCCATCAGACATGGCTCCCATCTGATATGCTGCTGTGGCACAACCGTCCACCCATGAGTGCAAGCCCACTGTAAGCAGGAGACAGAGCCCGTGTGGGACACTGGGTGAGGGCAGGGGCCTCAGAAGATAGTCTGATATTCTAAACCCAAAACGGCAACAAATGTGAGTGCAATGCAATATTTAAAGAAACCAGGGAATAGAGGTGCAGTTCAGGGGTAAAGGCCCCGCCTAGACTCCCCAGGTGAGGAGCAAAGAAAGTCTGTGTCCAAAAACTTACGAATAAAGAAAGGTCACGTGAGTGAAGGATTCATGAGCTCCAGCTGTATACAATCACAAACACATGTCACACATGGCAAAAACATGTTTTCCACAGAAGCATAAACGTTCAGTTGAATAACAGCAAACAATAAGGTAAACTCTTATCCTCTGCAGCTGGGAGGAGCATGAAAACGGTCCCGGTCCAAGAACAGGTCTGTGTTGAAGAAACTGAAGTCATAAGGCTCTTGTCTTGTTTTCTCCAGTGTACTCAGGCACCCAGACCTGTTTCCCGCCCTGCCTGATCCCACATCTTCTGTCTGTATCTCCTCATCCCAGCTCTTCACCCTGAACACATCCCTGGGGGACCCTGGTGTTGGTGTTCAGGATCATAGACCAAGCTGGTTTAAACCCTTGCTGTCCTGCGCCCACCTCCCAATGCTGGCATGCTAGGTCAGTGCCACCCTAGAAGACGGGGAACTCAGGTGCAGCATGGAGAGGGTGAGCAGTCCTAGGTGAGCCTTAGTGAAATTGCTGGTGAATGTGAGCCACGGGCTTTAAATTTGACCTGGATAGGTAGGGTGTCCTTTTCCCTGTGAGGCGGGGTTCACTCCACTGCATATTGAGTGATGTGTGCCAGAGACCCTTCGCCCGGGAGGAAGAAGTGTGTAGTGTGTGCAGGATGCATGCAGGGACAATTTTGTAGCACACGTTTTGCCACACGGCTAAGCTCTGCAGTGCTGGGACAGTTCTGTGCCTGGGTGGAAGTCAGGGCTGTGTCCCTTCACAAAACTCTGTTCCCTAAGGGAGCAGCTCCTGCTACTCAAGGCTAGCCAATCAGGGCCCCCAGATGGACTGCCGGTTAGAATGGGGTGGGCACCTCCGGTCCACCATGCTATAGGCTCTGTGGCTCTGGATCTGCGGGAGACTGCTGTTTAGATGGAAGTTTCCGACCTTCCAGGCGCTACAGCCATACGACCCCAAATAAACACAGAGACATTAATTATAAACTGTTTGGCCTATTGCTCAGGCTTTTTACTAACAAACTCTTACAGCTTAAATTAACCCATAATTCCTATCTATGTTTAGCCATGTGGCTTAGAACCTTTTCTCAGTAAAGCATCCTCATCTTGCTTCCTCTGTGTCTGGCTAGTGACTGTGTCTCTGCATTTCCTCTTCCCAGAATTCTAGTCTGGTAGCCCCACCTATACTTCCTGCCTGGCTACTGGCCAATCAGTGTTTTATTAAACCAATATGAGGGATAATGTCGCACCTGCTGAGTAGCCTGCATCCGAGAATGTAGCGAGGTGGTCGGGATAGATGACACAGAGACCCATCGGTTGCTTTAAGAAAACTTTATGCTCCCCAAGTCGGCTTAGGAGAACTCCCCAAGAAAAAATGCTTCCCTTTTTAAGGACTTCTGCCATCCATACACACACAATTCTCCAACTGAGCTCTCACATACCTCTCACAGCTCTCACAGACTTCTCACCCTCCTGGCTGGTCGTTAAATCTCCGGCACCAGAATCGGGGAGAAACAGCAGGGAGCAGGAAGAAGCATCTAGCCGTAGGGGGAATCAAAGTCATGGTGTTTCAGTGAGCGAGCCCTTATTGGAGCCCTACCAAGAGCTTTATGGCACTGAATTGTTTTCAGTAAACATGTTTTCAGTAAACATTGTCTTACAGCTGTCTACTCCCAGGCCGAAGGGGAAGTGGGTCTCTGTTCAAGGTCTGGTGTCCCCACAGGATAAATCTTTCTTTTTCTTTTTTTGGTTTTTGAAGACAGAGTTTCTCTTTGTTTTGTTTTTTTTTGTTTGTTTGTTTGTTTTGTTTTTTGTTTTTCGAGACAGGGTTTCTCTGTGGCTTTGGAGGCTGTCCTGGAACTCGCTCTTGTAGACCAGGCTGGTCTCGAACTCACAAAGATCCGCCTGTCTCTGCCTCCCAAGTGCTGGGATTAAAGGCGTGCGCCACCAACGCCCGGCCAGAGTTTCTCTTTGTAACAGCCCTTGTTGTCCTGGAACTCGCTCTGTAGACCAGGCTGGCCTTGAACTCAGAGATCTGCCTGCCTCTGTCTCTTGAGTACTGGGATTAAAGTATGAGACACTGCCTCCCGGCCTGAGTGATAAATATTTACAGTGTATAAGAACATTATTCCACGTCATTTCCCCCTTTTTTTCTTTTCAAAACAAGAACCCTGAATCCAATCTCCTTTGTTTAGCTTTCTTCTTGGCTATTATCCATAGCAAGAATGAACTCACAGCCTCTCATTTCCCACTTTTCCAAAGTAGCATGTCTTTTGACTTAAATTTTGAAGTCAAGGCATTTTCAAAATATATAGGTTGGATTAATCTAGCAACATTATTTATAATCAAATATTTGCTAGTAGCTGTTGCTCCTTCCTCATCAGTCAAACAATTCAAAGACAACACAATAACAGCCAGATTCTCTGTGTATTTTCCATCTTTTTTTTTTTTTTTTTTGGTTTTTCGAGACAGGGTTTCTCTGTGGCTTTGGAGGCTGTTCTGGAACTCACTTTGTAGACCAGGCTGTATTTTCCATTTTTATGTGGCTTTTATTACTCTATTTCTTTTATTTTTCATCATCATCATTTTTTGAGACAGAGTTTCTCAGTGTAACAGTCCTGGTTGTCCTGGAACTCTCTTTGTAGACCAGGCTGGCCTCGAACTCAGAGATTCTCCTGCCTCTACCTCCCAAGTGCTGGGATTAAAGGCATGTGCCACCAACGCCAGCTCTATTTGTTTGTAAAGGACTTTCTCTATACTTTTTCTTTTCTCTCCCAAGCCTACGTATATTTTAAGCACACTATAAACTGTTTAGAGGTTTTCTTCATGAGTCAGTCTTTACTTTTTTGAATACATGAGTCTTTAATCTGTTCAACAGAATGACTAGAATTAAAGTGGTGGCTGGTTCTGCCTTATTCCTTGGCTTCCTTGAGAGTCTAACTGCATAGTGGAGGTACTGTCATGGTCTTGACCTCCCTTTGTTGGGGTACCCCGAATTGAGGAGGGGTCCCCAAGCTGGATTCGTCACACCAAGAATCAAAAGTCCACGTGCCAATTGATGCAACACGCGAGAGGCTTTAATTAGGCATCTGCAGATGGGCCTCTCGGTCAGCTTTTAGACCGATTGGCCCTGAGGTTCAGTTACAATCAGCTTTTAAAGACAAAAACCACAAGCTTTTGGGAGGGGTCCCTATCTCGTGACGGGGAAGGGGGTACATGACTCCTGACCCGGGGAAGTAGATGTCTTCCTGACCTACATGTTGTAAATTCCTCAAACCTTGGCATGAGTTAATCATCTCTCCCTAAGTAAATAGTGTTATCTCCTTGTTTCCCACTAATCTTGTTTGCCCATCTCTGACGCCCTGGTCAGTTCTTCACAGATGGTCAGCAGCCCAGAATTGGCCTTTTGTGCGTTTACAGCCCTTCTGCAATTAAGGTTGCTAAACCATACATTCCATTCTGTGGTGTGGCCGGCTCCTGGGATGGGGTCCTTTGTTCACTTCCCAAGTTCTCTAGTGGGGTGCCCTCCCTGTTTAAGCTTATATTTTATTTCTATAAATTCGGGGTCTTTCACCTTGTTCCTATATTCCCTCCCTCTTCCCTTCAGTTGGATTCTGGGAGCTCGGCCTGTGACTTGGTTGTGATTCTCTGCCTCCTGTCCCATCAATTACTGGATAAAGGCTCTGATACTTGGGGTGTTCACCAATCTGATTACAGAGGTAGGCTAGCTTGGGATCCTCTCCATCGGGAACTTCACCACTTTTTCTAGGAGTCTTAGCTGGGGTCATCCTTTTGGATTCTTGGGAATTACCCTAGTACCAGGTTTCTTCCAACCCCATAGTGGTTCTATTATCTTTCATTGCTCTTTCCCTGCATCCCTCACCCCAACCATCCATTTCCCTCATAGCCTCACCCCTCCCCTTCCCCCAATTACCCTCATTTCCAGTTTACCCAGTAGATCTCATCTAATTTCCCTTTTTTTTGAGACAGGTTTCTCTCTGTAATTCTGGCTGTTCTGGAACTTGCTCCATAGACCAGACTGGCTGTGAAGTCACAGAAATTCACCTGCCTCTGCCTCCTGAGTGCTGGGACTAAAGGCGTGAGCTACCACCACCCAGCCCACCTTTTTGTTTGTTTTTCAGATTTATTTATTATGTATATAGTGTTCTGTCTGCATGTATGTCCACAGGCCAGAAGAGGGCACCAGATCTCATTACAGATGGTTGTGAACAACCATGTGGTTGCTGGGAATTGAACTCGAGTCCTCTGGAAGTGCTCTTAACCTCTGAGCCATCTCTCCAGCCCTTTTTTGTTGTTGTTGTTTTCAAATAATTGTCGTTTTAGTGTTCTATGTGCTCTTTCAATTATATCCTGGCTTTGTGGATTTTAAAGAATGCCTATAATATGATTACCATTCCATCCCTTACAGAAGTTCTCCAATGTCTGCATATATGATGGTCCACTGTTAGATTTTATAGAAGTAGGCACTCCCACAACAGTAAAAGTTTGTATAAGAGAAGAGCAAAATGCAGAAGCATTCTCTGAGGACTGAGTAGCTGCCCAAATAATTTTGGAATATGCATCATTGTATACAGTACAGCATGTGAGGCACAAAATCGAAGTGGTTGGCACCCATTTGCCGTAATTCATTAGTGTTTTTAACTCGGGCAACTCCGGTTATGACCATGACAGTGTAAGAGAGCACATCCCTGAAAAATTTGCCTCACTGGCTTAAGCTGGATGGGGCACTGTACATGAGGTCAGTTAGTATGAGTGAGTAGGTCCTGCTCTGGAGAAGTAAAAATCAGGCAGATTCATGCCTGGCTTGCTTATTTCTTTCTGCAATAAAAACAGGGAGGTTAGAGTGTGTATCAGTATGAGTAATAAACAAAGGACGTGTGAAGATTTTAACCTGATGCATTTCCTATAGTCATGGGAACATAACAGGTGTGAAGACAAAACTGGAGCAATTTCTGTTGTTGGAAACAACTCAACTATGTACACAGAATCTGAAGCAGTATTTAAGGGTTAATGAATTAACTGAAACAGATGAATCAAAACACCAGTCTGGATTCAAATAGCTTTAGTCGTTTTCTTGCCTCACAAGGTAATGTGTAAGGACTGTGTAATAAAACCTCCTAGAGTTTTAAATAGTATGGTTAGTCCATAATTACATTCCTAAAATAGGATGCATCCAATTAAATATCCTCCAATCATTTCTGAAAGTTAACTGTTCTTAAATTGTCTAGTTGTTCTAGTAACCAGTTGTCCTAAACATTGCACAATATCTGATCTTTGTACCTTCTTACTATAATATCAAGCCCATTTTTACTTAGTATATCCAGAGTCATATAATATATGGATTGTAGCTCTTCTTCTTTGGATGTGACTAGATAGGGTATCATCCATATTGAATAATATAAACCTGAGCTAGTTCATGCTCCTCTTAAATATTATTTTGGACTCTGTCCCATACTTCATCTAAAGTTCCTTCTACTAGGAACCAAGGATTATAATGACAAGAAACTTGCAAGGAGTTGAATAGTTGTGGTTTTAATGCTTGTGCTTCCCTTTTCTTTAAAAAATGATGCATAAGCCGGGCATTGGTGGCGCACGTCTTTAATCCCAGCACTTGGGAGGCAGAGGCAGGCAGATCTCTGTGAGTTCGAGGCCAGCCTGTTCTACAAGAGCTAGTTCCAGGACAGCCTCCAAAGCCACAGAGAAATCCTGTCTCGAAAAACCAAAAAAAAAAAAAAAAAAAAAAAGATTCATAAGCTTGACAAAGTCAAAGCCTTCTCTGGTTTCTGCACCAATATTGTCACTTACCTCCTTTTGCGAGGGTTCCCACTTTCCTTTTGTAGCTAGCTTCTGCTTCCTCTCAGGCTGTACTCATCATTGGTCTAGAGGGGAATCTGGAAGAATGGAGCTGATAAATGAAGCAGACTAAAGTCTCGCACAACAGACAACTTTATTCAGGGCCTAACACGCTTTATACTCTGAGGGTTAAGATGTTCATATGAATAACGTACTCATGACATCAAGCTGTATACAAGAAGGATAAGCCAGACATGGAAAACACATTTTTCCATACAGGCATAGGAAGGATAGTTTAAACATTTCATTGAGTAACAACAGCAAGCAATAATGAGTAATCTGAAGTAAACTCTTATCTGCTGCATCTGGGAGGAGCACACACACACAAATTCCAAGAACAATTTTGTGTTTTGAAGAAACTGAGGTCACAAGACTCCTGTCTTTATTTATTTTTGCGAGTGTTCTCCCATGCATTCAGAAATCTCCTCATACAATTCCACTCTCTGACCGTGTTCTGAGTATAATTTAGGTATATGTACCTAAATTACTTTTAAATTTGTAAAAAAATACACGAAGCACTTTTTACAAGTTTCTCCCACATGTATTTAAATACTACACACACATATACATACATACATACATACATATATTACATATATACCCATTTTTAAAAAGGACTTTCTCGGTCCAGGACAGCCTCCAAAACAATACAGAGAAACGCTGTCTCGAAAAACCAACCAACCAAACAAACAAACAAAAAAACAAAAGGGCGCTGGGCGTTGGTGGCGCACGCCTTTAATCCCAGGACTCGGGAGGCAGAGGCAGGTGGATCTCTGTGAGTTCGAGGCCAGCCTGGTCTACAAAGCGAGTTCCAGGACAGCTTCCAAGACAATAGAGAAACCCTGTCTCGAAAGACCAAAACAAACAAACAAACAAACAAAAAACAAAAAAACCCCCAAAAAACAAAAGGGCTTTTGCCAAGCTTTTTTTAGAATGAATAAATTATATATAAAAATATATAATGTATGCATTTCTTTGCCCTATTTGCATATCTGGTGCCTAAGGAAGCCAGAAGAGTGCATCAGATCTCTTGGATCTAGAATACAGGTAGTTCTGAACCATCCCATGTGGGTGCTAGGAACCAACCTTGGGTACCCTATAGCAGAAGTACTGAGACAAGTCTCCATTACCCAACTACGTCATTATAATTCAGAAGATGAAGATGTCCCATGACTCCTATCTTCTCTTACTTGGAGGTGATGAAAATCCCTGCTATACGGTCCTAAAATGACTCCATGATTTCTTTCCCTCTGTGAATGGACTCTACACATTGCTCCTTACTGTCATCCTTAACACACTTCTCTGGATGTGAGTGAAAACAATGAAGGGTTGAGTAGAGACGAGTCTCGTTGACGTTAGGAGACATTCCACAATGTGATGTATGCTACAGTTACTTAATTTGTTTTTTGAGATAGAATCCCCTATATGGCCATAAGTACCCTGGACATTACTATGTGGACTATGATAGCCTCAAACTCAGCAAGATCCATTTGCCTGTCTCCACAATGCACCACTATGCCCAGCTGGGATGCATTTATAAAATGACCTATCATTGAGTCAGAGACAAATAATATAAAATTTAAACAGTAAATCTTACTTTGTTGAAGTGACATGTGTTAGAATGTCATGATATATTAATTTCAATTGGCAAATCATTTCCCATGTTCTCAATATTTTGGTTATTTCCTTTGCTTTAATTTCATCTCCTCAGAAATTTCTTACCAGTATGTAAGTACCTGTGCTGTGTTGTGCATGTGCCAGGCAGAGGACAACTTACAGGGGTGTGTTCTCTACTTCCTTTATGTCAGTACTAGAGATCAAACTGAGGTAGTCAAGTTTGGAAGCAAATGCCTTAAATAGGTAGGTGATTGACCTCACTGACCCTTATCTCAGTTTTAAAAATATTCATGTGTGTAGGTCGGTGGTGTGCATATGCCACATCCCAAGTGTAGTAATCAGAGAAAAATTGGTAAGAGTAATGTGTGTATCCCAGAGACTGAACTCAAGTAATCAGACTTAGCAGCAACCTTTAACCACTGAGACAATTCTCTGCCATTTGTGTTTCTGAGAAAGTGCTAGGAACAAACATTTAGTCCTTAGAATAAACTACCACACACACACACAAAATGGTAGGATAAATAACCATTGTCTTTGGTGACAATTTTTTTTAAGGATTAAAAAAATTTATTTATTTATCATGCATACACTGTTCTCCTTGGATGCCAGAACGGGGTACCAGATCTCATTATAGATGGTTGTGAGCCACCATGTAGTTTCTGGGAATTGAACTCAGGTCCTCTGGAAAAGCAGACGGTGCTCTTCTGAGTCATCTCTCTAGCCCTGACAATTCGTTTATAATTAAAAAAAAAAGATACAAGCCGGGCGTTGGTGGCGCACGCCTTTAATCCCAGCACTTGGGAAGCAGAGGCAGGCGGATCTCTGAGTTCGAGACCAGCCTGGACTAGCAAGCGAGTTCCAGGACAGCCTCCAAAGCAATACAGAGAAATCCTGTCTCGAAAAACCAAAAAAAAAAAAAAAAAAAAAAAAAAAGATACTGTTTGGCCGATGGAATGGTGCTACTACCCCCATTTGAGCACCAGTGAGACCATGCAAAGCTTTACTAAATTTTCTAGATTCATGGTGTGTCTCTCCAGGAATAATTCTTTATGTCTTTGAAGTAGATGTAACATAAAGAGGCATTACCACATTGGCATTTGTAGGATTTCTCATTATTCTTTGATATGCTTGAAGATTATCCTGACCTGCAAAGTTTTAGTGCATCAATTACACTCAGGGTTTTTCTCCAATATGAATTCTTTCATGTATTTGAAGGTTTCTGTGACTTGCAAAGGCTTTACCACATTGATTACAATTATATGGTTTGTCTCCACTGTGACTTCTTTCATGCCTTTGAAGATAAACAATATGTGCAAAGGCTTTACCACATTGATTACACACATAGGGTTTCTCTCCAGTATGAATAGTTTCATGTATTTTAAGATTACTGCGACTTACAAAGGCTTTACCACACTGATCACACACATAGGGTTTCTCTCCAGTATGACTCCTTTCGTGTGTTTGAAGATTGCGGCGACTGGCAAAGGCTTTACCACAGTGAGTGCATACATAGGGTTTGTCCCCAGTATGAGTTCTTTCATGTGTTTGAAGATTACTGCGACTTGCAAATGTTTTACCACACTGACTACATTCATAGGGTTTCTCGCCAGTATGACTTCTGAAATGTTTTTGAAGACGATTGAATTGGGTAAAGCCTTTACCACACTGAGTACATTTAAATGGTTTATCTCTAGTATGACTTCTTTCATGCCTTTGAAGATAAATGATATGTGCAAAGACTTTACCACACTGATTACATCCATAGGGTTTCACTCCTGTATGAGTACTTTCATGTATTTTAAGATTACTACGACATGCAAAGGCTTTACCACATTGATTACATACATAGGGCTTGTCTCCAGTATGAATTTTTTCATGATTTCGAAGACTAGTGAAATGTGCAAAAGCTTTACCACACTGATCACATACATAGGGTTTCTCTCCAGTATGAATCCTTTCATGTGTTTGAAGATTACGGTGACTTACAAAGGCTTTACCACAGTGAGTGCATACATAGGGTTTGTCCCCAGTATGAGTTCTTTCATGTGTTTGAAGATTACTGCGACTTGCAAATGTTTTACCACACTGACTGCATTCATAGGGTTTCTCGCCAGTATGGTTTTTGAAATGTTTCTGAAGACAATTGGATTGTGTAAAGCCTTTACCACACTGATTACATTCATATGGTTTGTATCCAGTATGACTTCTTTTATGTCTTTGTAGATAAATGACATGTGCAAAGGCTTTACCACATTGATTGCATTCATAGGGTTTCACTTTTGTATGAGCACTTTCATGTATTTTAAGATTACTACGACATGCAAAGGCTTTACCACATTGATTACATGCATAGGGCTTGTCTCCAGTATGAATTTTTTCATGATTTCGAAGACTAGTGAAATGTGCAAAGGCTTTACCACACTGATTACATCTATATGGTTTCACTCCTGTATGAGTCCTTTCATGTATTTGAAGATTACGGCAACTTACAAAGGCTTTACCACATTGATTACATACATAGGGCTTGTCTCCAGTATGAGTTCTTTCATGTGTTTGAAGATTACTGTGACTTGCAAAGGCTTTACCACAGTGATTACATTTATAGGGTTTCTCTCCAGTATGATTTTTGAAATGTTTCTGAAGACGATTGAATTGTGTAAAGCCTTTACCACATTGATTACATCCATATGGTTTGTATCCAGTATGACTTTTTTCATGCCTTTGAAGATAAATGTTATGTGCAAAGGCTTTACCACATTGACTGCATTTATAGGGTTTCACTCCTGTATGAGCACTTTCATGTATTTTAAGATTGCTACGACAGGCAAAAGCTTTACCACATTGATTACATACATAGGGTTTCTCTCCAGTATGAGTTTTTTCATGGTTTCGAAGACTAGTTAAATGTACAAAGGCTTTACCACATTGATCACATATATAGGGTTTCTCTCCAGTATGAATTCTTTCATGTACTTTAAGATTATGGCGATTTACAAAGGCTTTACAACATTGAACACACATGTAGGGTTTCTCTCCAGTATGGATTCTTTCATGTATTTTGAGATTATGGCTACTTGCAAAGGCTTTACCACAGTGATTACATTTACATGGTTGCTCATTAGTATGAGTTCTATGTACTTGAAAGCAAATGTGATGTGCAAAGCCTTTTCCACATTGATTATATTTGTAGGGTTCTATTTCCACATGATTTCTTTGATGTAATTGTAAAGAGGAATCAAATCTAAAGTCTTCCTCATGTTGATTACATTCAAAGAGATCCTCTTTATGATGGGTTCTTTTGTGTGTCTGAAGATACCTGTGATGGTTAAAGCCTTTAGTAGATGACTCACATTTGTCACTTATATTTCCCATATGAATTTTATCACATTTTTGAACAGAACTGGAAGAACTCAGTATTTTACCATACTGATTGTATGCATAGCATTTTTCTATACCGGGAGTCACACTCCACATGCAAAGTGAACCAATACAGACAGAAGAATTCTCACATTCCTTGTACTCACAAGGCTCTTTTACATTGTGAGTTTGTTGATGTATTCCCAGTGTAGTTGGATAACCAATTAACCGCAAGTTTGTATCACATTCACCGCGTCTACTCATAGTGGGGACTACTACATATCTTCTAACAGTTGTAGGAGAGAGAGAGGTACATTGCTTCTTTTCATATCCCTTATGTTCACATGGTTTGTATCCAGAGGGACAGATGAAATACCTATTAAAGGAAGAATAACAAAAAAAAAAAAAAAAGGATTTCACACTGCATTCACATAGTTTAACTTTTGCTCTCCATAAAGATGTGGTATAGGGATTAAGGTTTTTCCACCACAAAACCCTTCCTGATCTTTATAAAGTGACCCCCCAACTAAACTTTAGAAAGTCTTTATAAGTATATGAGAAACACTAGATTTACTATGGACTTCTTGCTTATAAAAGGTTTCAGACAATACATTGATTCCCCCAAACAATGTATATGCCTATATGATACTTAAATACAAGGGATGGACAGTTCTACAAAAAGGATCTCATGGGGCTATGATTAAAATAGTGTCATGTGTTAACACATTGTTTCCTGTCTTCTTTCTTAGATGAATGTCTTGGAAACACGGATCACCTACCTGACACTGAGATACATTCACACTATTAATTAATTCTAGAAAAAGGCTTCATCTAGCTTCTTGTACATGATTCCAGTTTTTAGTCTCTGTCATGTAACTAGGAATTAAGTTTTTGTACTCTGGATGTACATAACAAATAACTACAAACTACCCAGGACAATTTTGAGGTGACCAGCTGAAATGACTCAGCTTCACAGACTACTCTAGCCAGGACTTGAGACAAGCCCTGCACTTTCCCATTATGCAGAGACTGAAAAACAAACAATAGTTATCTCTCCCAGGACTTGACAATTTATCTAAGTTTTTCTTTTCAGGATTCCCTACAGATGCCCTTGCCCCTAGATAGCAGGAAGTACATTGAAGAATACAACACCTACATTCCCAAGAGGTTGGGTGAGTGATTTTTGATCATTTAGTGCCTTATGGATATTTGTCATTGTTTAGGAGGGTTGGTTACAACTTGTCATTCCTAATGATCAGGAAAATAGATGAACAAAGAAGATTTAGATTCAGAGTTCTTGTTTAAAAGAAAAAGATATAGAAATAGGATAAAAAGGTAGATTACTGAATCTACTTTTTTTGTTTGTTTGTTTTTTTGAGACAGGGTTTCTCTGTGTAGCTTTAGAGCCCATCCTCGAACTTGCTCTGTAGACCAGGCTGGCCTCAAACTCACAGAGATCAGCCTGCCTCTGCCTCCCGAGTACTGGGCTTAAAGGTGAGTGCCACCAATGCCTGGCCTGAATCTACTTTTAAGTCAAAAGAGCAACTATTAGTTTTAAATATTTTACATTGGCTTGGATATTTGTTTATTGATACAAAATTGGGATTATTTTGTTATAACATACTGTACATCCATTTCTAATCTTGTTCAAGGTATTGTATGTATACAGATCATTTAACAATGTAATGTAAATTTTTAGCCCTTGAAAGTTATTACTACCAACTGCTTAGGATAAAAAGAAATGCAGGTTAGTAATTAGCCACCTATTACAAGTGAACTTGTAGGTACATTAGATATGTTTTCAAGGTCAAACAGATATATTTTAGAAAGGAAGGTCATCTTCAAACACTCCAGAGAGCTACAGAATATGGTATTTAAGATGTTTCATAACATAGGTTCTTTTCTTTTTTATGATGAGACATGTTTGCTCCTGGAAGGACCAATCTACTTCAGAGAAGATGATGGGCATCAAAGAACCCCACATGGAGCTTACTTTCTTTGTGGCAAACGTTATCCACTGGGCAAGAAGGTGCTCATACCTCGACTGCTGACAATATGCTGTCCTAATTGGATAAGGACACACATACACACACACACCGGACTGCCAAACTTTGCAAAGACAAGGTAGTATATCCTTTCAGAATATCCTGCTTCACAAAAGTCTGTCAGATATGCTAGGCTTTTAGGTCAAAGATGGATGCCCCAACGTTGCAGAGGAACCTTGGGTGACTGTCTAGACAGCCAGGTGTTTCTGTCATTTATGTTTTCGGAAGTCCCTTGTTTGCACTTCCGCTTACTCAAGTAATATTATTTTCTTCTCAGGTCTCTAATGGATTTGAAGACTAGACCGTTACAGTTTTCTTTGTTGCCAGATTCAGAAAAGGGATTCACTAAAGAGGTGTAATGTGTGTAAGGTTGAGAGACATAAGAAGCATAAGAAGATAGTTTTGGTAATGTAAGGTACAATAGAAAGTGAATTAGTACAACCTTTTGGAATCACCAAGATAGGATAGATATGGAGTATTTTCTCTGAATTTGTCAATTGCTAACGAACTAGACATTGTTGATATATTTATTGCCTTTATATATATTATATATAGTTATTGTACTTATTGTACATAGTTTTTCTTATAGTAGTTTTAACCTTTTTAAATTTTTAAATAAAAAGGGGGGGGATGTGGTGACATCTTGTTTATACTCTAACAAAGAAAGCTTTCCTGAAAATCACAGGGTGGTGCTAGCCACTAGTTAGCCATAGAGATCTGTACAGACAGACAGGAATTGATATGGCTAGGCAGAGAGAGTAGTTTGTAAGAATTTAATAATTATCATAAAGTTGTGTTTATTTTCAGTGTTGCCTTTCCTTAATGCTTCAGAGAACAATGAAATTTCTTCAGAGGTACTTATGTATCAGCTTGCATAAGAAAATTACCTTTCGTGTCTTCTAGAACTTTGACAATGTTCTTCAATATTCTGATCTTCCCATTTGTAGCCTAAAATACAGTACCAGAAAATGTATGTGATATTTTACTAGAAATTAGGCAAAAAGTCACTACTTTGTTGAACCTGAGAACCATCCTAGATTACATTCTTTCTTTCTTTTTTTTTTTTTTTCGAGACAGGGCTTCTCTGTGGCTTTGGAGTCTGTCCTGGAACCAGTTCTTGTAAACCAGGCTGGTCTTGAACTCACAGAGATCCACCTGCCTCTGCCTCCCGAGTGCTGGGATTAAAGGCTGCGCCGCCAACACCCAGCATATTCTTCCTTTTTCATAGCTGAAATTTCACGAGAACATCAATGATCAAGAAATGCTTGTCCTAGCTCGTGGACCTCACAGACTCTAGACCATCAGCTGTGGAGCCTGCATGTGACCAAACCTCTGCATGTGGGTGACAGTCGTGTAGCCTGGTGTGTTTGAGGGACCCTGGCAGTGGGACCGGGATCTACCCTTGGTGCATGAGCTGGCTTCTTGAGCCCATTCCCTATGGAGGGATGACTTGTTCAACTTTGATGCAGGGGAGAAGGGCTCGCTCCTGACTCAACTTAATGTGCCAGGCTTCGCTGCCTCCCCGTGGGAGGCCTTACCCTTTCAGAGGAGTGCAAATGTGGTGGATTTGGGAGCAGCTGGGATGGGGGGAGCAGGAGGACTGGTGGGAAGGGGAACTGTGGTTGGTATGCATGATGAATAAAAAAATTAAAAAAGAAATGCTTGTCGCCTTATTGTAAAGTTCACATTCCTACCTATAGAAGTGAGATTCCAATAGGTCTCCAGCATCACATCTTTGTAGAGACTCTTCTGGGAAGGATCCAGCAAAGCCCACTCTTCATGAGTGAAGTTCACATGCACATCCTCATAGGTCACTGTGTCCTAAAGTATCCCATAGTGTACATAAGAGAAACAGTGAGACTGCGTTGCAAAAGTGCACTTCATTGAGAATATATTTACATAATTTTGTGTACTCCATACATTTATTTCATGTCACAGAATTTCAAATGCAGTCACCAAGTCATTTTAGAAGGAAAAAGAAAAGGAGATGGTCCCTCCCGTCTCTGTGCCCACTGAATGGGATATGGGATTGCAAGACAAATGACTAACAGATATACAGAGAGGCATGCAAACAGAGCAACACTATCAAGTATACATCAGCAGAACACTGTTGAAATTCCCAACTTAAAAAAAAGAATGAACAAGATGTGGTGGTACACACATTTAATCCCAAAATTCAGAGGCAGAAACAATCAATCTCTGTGATTTTGAGGCCAGCCTGATTTATATAGAAATTTCCAGGACAGAGGTACATAGTGAGACCCTGTCTCCAACCAACCAACCAACCAACCACAGAAGCCACTCAAGGGCTCAATAAAAATTCCTCCAAAGACTCAAACGTTCAGTCCAGTTCTGTATCCATCTTTCAGAAAGCTGCAGTTACCCACTTTAAACTGTAAGACTAATATGAGATTCCTATGAATGAATGAAATTATAATAAGTTACTGATTGACATATCAAAAAGTTCTCAAAAAATTAGTAAAAATAATGTTGAATAAAAAAATTTGAGTGCTGACTGGTGGTGGTGCACACCTTTAATCCCAGCACTCGGGAGGCAGAGGCAGGTGGATATCTGTGAGTTTGAGGCCAGCCTGGTCTATGGTGAGAGTTCCAGGGAAACCTCCAAAGGAAAACAGAGAAACCCTGTCTTGAAAAGCAAAACAAAACAAAACAAACCATCCAAAAAACAAGATAAAATGATAGATGGAGTGTAAAGGTAGCTGCCAGTTAGGATGTGTTGCTTTTGCAGACAACCTCAATCCCCACTCAGAGTCTCACAACCATTTGTAGCTTCAGATTAACTGGAGACAACATGCTCTTCTGACTTCAGTCAAAACCAGGCTCACATGTGGTTCATATTCATATATATAGGCAAAAGACTCAAGCACATTAAAAAAAAAAACTTGCAGGGTGGGTGGGTGGTAGTACTCACCTTTAATCCCAGCACTCGGGAGGCTGGGAGTTTGAGGCCAGACTCGTCCACAGTGAGAGTTTCAGGACAGCTAAGGTTGTTAATATAGTGAGACCCTCTCTCAGGAAACCAAAAAAAAGAAGGAAGAAAAAAATTTAAAAAAATATAGGAAGGTAGGGAGAATGTTACCACCTGTAATCCAAAGTACACTGGTTAGTTTTATGCAAGCTTCATACAGGTTAGTTATCTGAGAGGGGGAGACTCAACTGAGGAAATGCTACCATAGGACCCACCTGTAGGCAAACTGTGGGGCATTTTCTTAGTGACTGACAGAGAGGGCCCAGCCCCCTGCGGGCAATGCCATCCCTGGGCTGGTGCTGGGTTCTGTAAGAAAGCAGCTGAGCAAGCCATGGGGAGCGAGCCAGCAAGCAGCACCCTCCATGGCCTCTGCATCAGCTCCTGCCTCCAGGTTCCTGCCCTGTTTCACTTCCTGTCCTGACTTCCTTTGATGCATAGTGATACAAGCGTAAGTTCTTGTCTTCACTTCCTTCAAAGATGAAGAACCACATGCAAGTGTAAGGCAAATGAGCGGCTTCCTCTGACAGCTTGCTGTTTGGTCATGGTGTTTCACCGCAGTGATGGAAACCTTAAGTAAGAAGCAATGAGTCAGGAGACGCAGGTTACATTATGAATATGCACCGTCCTGGAGAAGGGATGATGCCCTCTGCCAACGACGCAAAGTTAAGTCGTGAGTAAAGGACAGCACAAGACAATTGCTTGACAGGAACAGAAGCCAAATCCACGGCCGAACATATAAAGTAAAAATATCAGGCCAGGCCGGGCGGTGGTGGCGCAGCCTTTAATCCCAGCACTCGGGAGGCAGAGGCAGGCGGATCTCTGTGAGTTCAAGACCAGCCTGGTCTACAGAGCGAGTTCCAGGACAGCCTCCAAAGCCACAGAGAAACCCTGTCTCGAAAAACCAAAAATACAAAACAAAACAAAACAAAACAAAAAAAAAACCAATCAGGCCAGAAAAATGCCTTTGCTAGGAAAAACAATTACTCAGTTTATTTTATATTACTTAGGGATGGCGTCTGCAATGGTGGTGATGGCTGCATGGGAAGGAAGGTTGCTCAATTCCAACCACCACAAACATATAAAGATGACACAGTGTGGAGAACATATAAACACTCAAAGCCTATCCCCAGAGGATAATTCCTCCAGAAACGCTCCTCCTCCTAAAGGTTCCATAAGCACCCTAACGGAAGCCACAAACCAGAGACAAAGTCATCCTACATGGGAGGTTTTTAATTCAACCCACCACATTTTCACACATCATGAGACTCACAGTCAACCCATAATGCAAAATGAAGTCTAACTTCAAAGATTCCCATGTTCTGTAACAGTCCTAACACAGTTTGAGTGTCCAAAGTTTCTACTGACATTGAAAGCAATCTCTTGACTGTGACATCTTATAAAATCAAAACACTATAACTACCCAAAATGCAATAGCATAGAATACACATTTCCTTTCCAAAGAAATAAGGAAATATTGGACCAAGGCAAGTCTGAACCACTGTTGGGCAAACACCAAATCCTGCAGTTCTGTTATCAGGCACCAGGCTTTAGTTTCAAAGGCTTAGATGGCTGTGCCTCTCTGCGGCTTCTTACACATTTTACTCTTGGCTAATTTCACTCTGTACATGCAGCTATTCATGGCAGGTGTCTCAAAATGCAAACAAGACTTCATCATCATGGATTCATGCCATGAAAACTCATGGTCTCCTCACTGAGGCCATGGTTCTGCCGAATAGATGGCTGCAACAGTGCTGAGCTGAAAGTCTACAAGAATTAATGAACTTTAGATTTTGCTTCTATCGTCTTTCAAGAAAAAGTAGCACATAGATGATACCAGCACATGGGATTCCAGCTTTGGAACAGCAGCAGCAGGTTTTGTATGAAGTTGGTTTCTAGGACTAGGAATCACCTTCCTTTTCCTTCCATAGTTAAAAGCTTACCACACCTTTTCTATATGGCCCTAATTTCCCCAGTAATTGCCACCTCTGTTTCGGCACATGGCATCCTTCTGAAACTACCTACATCTTTGCCCTGCTTGTTGCTCTTTTTCACTGTGGATCTGTATGAATCATCAATAATAACCATGCCAGAGACTGTTTTGTGAAGAAATCGGCACATTACTCTTTCATACAAGATGGGCAGAATACAGGCAGATAATATGTTAAAACATTACTCAAACAAAATGTCTCAGGGACTGTCCTATTCCTGTGAAGAAACAGGACTCTTATAAAGGAACATTTTTTAATCTGGAGTTTTATTACAGTGACAGAGGATTAGTCCACTGTCCTCATGAAAAGATGCATCAGGGTAGGCAGACTGACAGTTACATCCTGATACACAGGCAGGAGGCAGAAAAAAAACACTTGTTTTGGCGAGGGTTTTTGAAAACTCAAATCCCACCCACAGTGACATCCTAATAAACAAGGCCACACCTAGTCCCACAAGGGCATGCCTCCTAATGTTACATCAAGCATGTGAGCATAAGAGCCTGAGGCTGTCGAGCACAATATAAACTATGAAAGAACACAACCTAAGTAGGAAGAGCTCTAGAGGGAAAGACAGAAAGAAATTGATGGAAACAGAGAGGAGGCAGGTCTGTCTCTCTTTTTCTTTCTTCTCTCTCCCCTCCATTCTCCCAACAAACTTCCTTCCTAGGTAAGTTTTGCCTGATGCATTGTTTGTCCCCTGCCATGGGATCTGCCAAGGTTCCCCTCGTGCCACAAATCAACAGTAGTGGTAGTGATCTTATTCTTGCTGTTGGGATTAACACTGTTTCTGCTTGAGAGAATTCTTTCCTGTGTTACTAGGCCATTGGTACCATTCCCTCTTATAGTCACCCTGACCTCACTAAAATGCCATATTAAAGAAAAGGGTGTAACACTTCACATTTAAACTTTGGGCAGTGTGGATCTCACCAGACCTGGTACCCTGTGGATGGGCTCATCTTCTCAGGGAACTGAACTAACTTTGAGTAGAAAGCAACCCTGGGCTGTGTACCAATGTGGCTTGTGATCTCATCATGATAGAAGCAGCCATGTGATTTGGCTGTCATCTTTTCTAATGGTTTCAGTTAAAAAAATTAAATACCATGTGACTTCTTGGTTACTGCAACTGCATGGCAAAATCCAAAATGGTGACACCCATAAACTTGGTGTTGCTGAGCCTTCAGGGCATTAACCCACTTATACCAATAAGGTAGCATTGGGCTTCCATGGTGTGTTTGTGTATTTCTGACACATTGTTTGCTGGATGTATTTACTGGCTTAGACAGGGGAGTAAGGAATTTCCTTAGCCACATGCCTCCAACGCTAGCCAGGAATTCAAAGTTCTCAATTCTTTGTAATGGTAAGACTTAATTCTCTGTAATGGTAAGACTTGGAAGACTCATGCAACTTTGCATCAACCTAGAGCCAGTCTTGGGAAAATACACATCCCAAGAGAATCAAGAGAATCGTTGGCAGGATGCTAGACAGGCTGCTGCCAGTGAGCAGCTAGGACAGTTGGAGGCTGTAGACACAGGCTGCGCTGGGTTCCAATACCTCATGTCCTGCTCCCGACCCTGTCTGGGAACGTCCACACCTGTTGTTTTCCAAAGACACTGGGCTCTTCTGCTCCACTTTGACGTCCACACTTGATGTCCTGGGAACCCACGCTGTACTTTCATTTTCTGTGTTCTTTGAAATAAACAAGCTTTAGGAAAAGAACATCCTAATACTATCTCATTATTAGTTAATTTAGATTTTTTTTGGTGCCCTATAGTCACTAAACTATGAATACTTAATCCCATATTGCATATGATAAACTATACCGTACCTTTTCTAACTAGGCTGTCTGACTTACAAAAAGTCATCTCTAAAAGGGGAATTCAGTCTGAGTCATTTCATGTTCAACTTCTATTTAGATTGAGAATATGCAGGATTATATTGAGAAACATGACAGAGATTGACAGACTGTAAATTTGGAGAGCAGGAAAACCCCATTCAATGAATTCAAAACATTGTCAAGTCTACCAAAAGGAGGGTCAATCCAGATTTCAAAGGAAACCACAGTTTGCCAAGCAAGGCTTTGACTCATCCTCATATTGATGGACAAGTGGTACAAAAGGTTGTAGGAGACTGAGGGTCCTCTCAAGCCCCGTGACACCTGAGGATCAGTTGTACTATTGGTCTTGACAGTAAGTAAGAAAGATTACTTTGGCCACTAGCATAGTCTTCAGCACTCAGGAGGAAAGTTTCACCAAAGAATAATGGAAATGGTAACAACCAAAGAATCACACTCCACAGACCTTAAGTGCAAGTCTACAGGAGATGTTACGTAGACAAATCCATCTCACTAATATTTTCCTCATGATAAAAAGATGTTGCCCAGCCGGGCGTTGGTGGCGCACGCCTTTAGTCCCAGCACTCGGGAGGCAGAGGCAGGCGGATCTCTGTGAGTTCGAGGCCAGCCTGGTCTACAAAGTGAGTTCCAGGACAGCCTCCAAAGATACAGAGAAACCCTGTCTCGAAAAACCAAAAAAAAAAAAAAAAAAAAGATGTTGCCCAGATGTGAGACATTAGGTGCACACTGAAGCACCTGCCTACAGCCAAGGTAGACCAGCCAGTATTGTTTTCCCATAAATATGACGTGATGACGCCACACGGGAAGCACATCATGCTGACTTTTAGCTCATACAAGACCTATCAAAGGGCTTGAAAGCTGACGGTGTGCTCACATTAACCTTAGAGGTCAATAGAAAACCAGGAGTCTAATGGGAGGGGCTCTCGTGAGCCAATCAAGACAGCCTAATGTACTCTGGGCACTTTAATCCCTTCAAAACACCAGCCAAGGCCCTCCTTTCCTCTCTGCATCTGACAGTTAGGATGTGACAGAGAACCCTGGTGGGGTGCCTCAATACTGCCATCCGTCCAGCCAGAACAGTTGTCTCTCCAGTCTTCTTCAGAGAGGTGAGATAAGAGCAGGAGGTAGAAATTGGCCAGGGTTAGGGTAAAAAGTCCTCAAACAAAAGGAATCATTAGCTTCCTTGAAAAAAAAGCAAGAAGCGTCATTGGAACTCTTAGCAGTTTCATTTTTACCAGAGGTTAATGAAGCCAAAAGCGTCTTGGGAGCTGTGATGTCTGATCTAAGTGATTCTAGAAAGGAGCAAAGTTAAAGGTGGTAATGAGGGCCTGCTAATAGAGAAGCCCTGTGGTCAAGGAAACAGAGTCTCTGGCTGTGTGAAGGTCTAAAATTCAATGGGGACAAGTCAGTGCCTCCACCTAGAAACCCCTTAGAGCAGGAACTGAGGCCATACTAATGAAACATGCAACAATTAAATTCACGTGCTGGGGGTATGCCATGGCAGTGTCTAATCAGCTAATACTAGGCAGGTACAGTGGGCTGGTGAGATGGTTCAGCCTTTAAAGGCTAGGCTCACAACCAAAAATCCAACAGGTATACTCTCTTCCCCCGAAGTTTCTTATCCAGAGACAGGACAGAAGGCACGCACCTCAGTGAGTTTGAAGGGAAGGGTGCTTTTAAACAACCATAGGTAAAACTCAAGGAGGAACAATACAGCAAAAGGAGGCCATGAATTTGAAGGCAAGGAGGAATTTGGGGGGAGGGGCTGGGATCGAGGAAAGGGGAAGCCCAAACGATGGAGGCATAATCTCAACAATTATTCTAGAACACTGAGACAAGCAAAAGGGACTGACAATTTATGTTGGGACACACCAAGGATAACTCAAACCCTTTCTCTTGGCTGTATGTTTTCAGCCAGAAAAATAACAGGCCAGTTAGGTGGGGCCATGCCAATTTGTTCAGCTCTGCTGTTCTGGTTGAACTAGCGTAACCACGGTAATATGGTTTCTACAAGGAAACTCATTTCTTTATCCAAATTCTTGATTTCCCTGGTCTGTGGACCCCTACATAAACATTTATCAGGACATTTGTCAGTCACCCAAAACTGATTATCCAATTGTTCACTGGGAATTTCAACTGCAGACAAAACTGGAATCCTTCATGCCTCCTCCCTCCGCCTCCCTTTCTCTGCTGTGAATACATCAGCTTGCAGGTAGGCAACGGACTCCGATTCTTACACAGCTTCCTCTACACTAGCAGATTCCTGACGAAAGCCTGGGCTCTACGAGGACACTCATTCCCGTATCTTTTTCCTTCTCACCAACCTGCACATCTGTATTCTCAGTACTGGTGGCAGAGGCATGTTTAGATATTCAAGGCAATTCTCAATGACATGGTGATGGGATGTCCTCTGTGTGCTGTGAATGTTTCTCTTATGGGTTGATGAGTAAATGCTGATTGGTTAGTAGCCAGGCAGGAAGTATACAGGGGCTACCAGACTAGGAGAATGCTGGGAAAAGGCAGAGAAGCAGTTGCCAGAGAGATGCCATGTAGCTGCCAAGGAAGAAGAGGGCTGGGCATCATGGGTAAGCTGAAACCACATGGAAATACACGGATTAATAGAAATGGGTCAATAATTAATAGAGAGCTAGTCAGTAAGAAGCCTGCACCATCGGCCAGTTTATAATTATTGTAAGTCTCTGTGTGTTTATTTGGGACTACATGGCTACGGGACCGGGAGGGACAGAAACTTCTATCAACAACACACTATCAGGGAAGCCTGGGCTACAAGGCACATTGCTTTCAAAATAAATAAATGAATCATAACTTCAGAAACATTAAATAAAGTTTTTTTACTTCTAGGCTTTTTGAGGCAGGGTTTCTCTGTGTAGCCCTGGCTGTCCTGTAAGTCACTCTGTATACCAGGTCGGTCTTGAACTCACAGAGATCCACCTGCCTCTGCTTCCTGAGTGCTGGGATTAAAAGAGTGCACCACAACCACGAATAAAGTTCTTAGTAACTTGGAGTCAATGGAGAATAGAAGTGGTTTGATTGAGAATGGCCCCACAAGCCCTTATGACTCAATATTTAGTCATCAGAGAGTGTCACTATTTGAGAGGGATTACAAGTTGTGGTCTTGTTGGAGGAAGTATGTCGTTGCAGGTGGACTTTGAGGTTTCAAGGGCCCAAGCATGGCCCAAAGGCCTTTTCTCCTTGCTGCCTGAGGATCTGAATGTACAGCTCTCAAATAGTTCTCCAGGACCATGTCTGCATGCATGCTATCATGTTCCTCACCATTATGACAATGAACTAAACCTCTGAACCTGTAAGCCAGCCCCAATTAAAGGCTTTCCTTCGTAACAGTTGCCATGGTCACAGTGTCTCTTCGAAGCAATACAACACTAACACAGATACCAACAACCAGCGTTTCAAAGAGGCAAAAGTAAACCAAAAGAACACCCACCTCTACCGACTGTGGAACAGAGTGGGTTGTTTCCTGGTAGAGGGAACGTCATAAAAACTGACCGCATGATCTTCTCTGTGTAAAATGTTAGGTGCCAAGAACTGTGGCTGACAGCAAGCCACAGCCAAATGCCTTGTCTCAATCCTCTTACCCACTGAAGTGAGCCAACTGGGACTGCACTCACCAACATGCGAGTTGCCCAACAGGAAATTGCCGTGGCTTGAGGTAACTGCCCCATTTGAATACCCACCAATTTGGTTTTCCTTCATTCATGAATTAACCCAGACTTGGAAAATACACAGAAAGTCACTCACCCTGTCCTATCAGATTGTTCTTCTGAGACCCCTGCAGCTCACTGTCTTAAAATTAAACAACTTGTAATCTAGCCATTGCATAGCCTGTTTACCCTTGCAATGATACAACGAAGTGTTCCTTCTATTCTGCTCTCAAGGGTGAAGCCATGTTCCACACACAAGTCCTGTTACTGACACGGATCACCCATTCTGTGACTCAAATGGGTACATTTAGCACTGAGTAAGGCTACAAACCTTTAACTCAAGAATTGGGGAGTGGATTCTGGGAAATAGCAATGTTAATGGACTGTGGGGCCACACACTGGGATCAAGGCGACCTTAGAGCACACTCTTAGACCTTATAAAGAAAAAATCTCTTCAGTAATAACAAGTCTGCCTCTCTGTCTGACACTCTAAGTGGAGCTGGCCAGGAACAGATTTGCTAACGTAAATACGCCACGGGCTTACGCATTCCACACACGCTGTCCACCTGGAGAAATGCTGCTTACTACCCTCCTGCTACCATGGCTTCCTCAGGAGCACCTGCCCAGGGTGGCACCATCACAGAGGGGTGGGCCCCATCCCATCCATCATTAATGAAGTGAAAGATCCCGAATTTATAGAAATAAAATATAAGCTTAAACAGGGAGGGCACCCCACTAGAGAACTTGGGAAGTGAACAAAGGACCCCATCCCAGGAACTGGCCAAACCACAGAATGGAATGTATGGTTTAGCAACCTTAATTGCAGAAGGGCTGTAAACCCACAAAAGGCCAATTCTGGGCTGCTGACCATCTGTGAAGAACTGACCAGGGCGTCAGAGATGGGCAAACAAGATTTGTGGGAAACAAGGAGATGATAACCACCATTTACTTAGGGAGAGATGATTAACTCATGCCAAGGTTTGAGGAATTTACAACATGTAGGTCAGGAAGACATCTACTTCCCCTGGTCAGTAGTCATGAACAGCGCCCCCCCCCCCTGTCACAAGATAGGGACCCCCTCCCAAAGGCTTGTGGTTTTTGTCTTTAAAAGCTGATTGTAACTGAACCTCGGGGCCAATCGGTCTAAAAGCTGACCGAGAGGCCCATCTGCAGATGCCTAATTAAAGCCTCTTGCGTGCTGCATCAATTGGCACGTGGACTCTTGATTCTTGGGGTGACGAATCCAGCTTGGGGACCCCTCCTCAATTCGGGGTACCCCAACAGAAGAAAATACACCATGGATTTGCCTACAGACCAGTGTGACTCTAGAGTAAGTCAAGCTGATCAAATGTAGCCAGCACACCTACCGAGTCACCTCTCAGTCCCGAAAGACAGACTTTTAAGCAAACCTCACCTCTCTTAACATTGTCTTTTCAGCATGTGCTTGTGCATGCACACATACAAAGTTTTGAAAATCTGTCACGTTTAGGAATGGAGAGACATCAGCTCTTGCAGAAGACCTGGGTTCTCTTCCCGGCACTAACATCGTGGCAAACCATCACCCGAGATGCTAGCAACTAGTTGCGGGGGATTTAAGTCTGGTCGCGCTGACCCGGTGCCCGGCCTCCGCGGCGTCCGCAGCAAATGCGCTCCCGACGCGGACTCTGCGCCCGGCACCGAGTCCACGCATGCGCTCCTGAGCTGAGCGCTCGGCGCCCAGGGCACAGCGTCCGGGAGACGCTGGGGACGGCAGCGCGCTGCGTGGTGACGTCACGTGCGGCCCGACCGCGCACGGCCCCCACGCCCCGTCCCGCGCGATTCCGCCGCGGACGAAGACGATCAGAGGCCTCGGGACCGGCGGCGGCGTGGACGGCGGGGCTCACGTGACCGCAGGCCCGGGAGGCCCCGCAGCGGCTCCGCGGCCCCTCCCCGCGTGCGCACGGCGGCCCTCGCTCACCATGGCGGCTCCGCGCTCGCCCCGCGCTCCTCACAGGTCCCGGCGGCGGCTCACAGCGCGGCCCACGGAACGCGAGCGGCTCCCTGGGTCCCGGGCGGGCGAACTGCGGCATGGCGGACCGGAAGTGCCCGCCCCGCTCTGACTGACGGTGCGATGGCGGGCGCTGATTGGCCGGTGTGGCCTGAGTGACGGGCGCAGCTCCCTCAGGGACGCAGAGTGAAGGGTGCGGAGCCCGGGTTCCCGGCCCCGACTTCGCCCAGGGCAGAGTTTCCTTTCCCGGACCCGCAGGGCGGGCGTGGATCTCACAGAGCGCGGGGCTGACCGCAAAGTCGTCCTGCGCTTTCCCGCTGAGTGAGCTCCTCGCACGCTTCCCCTGCGCTCAGGGCCGGGGTCTCAGGCCGGGCAGACGCCGAGGTGAGCTTGTAACACGCTGAAGCAGCTTGCTGAGGAAGCACCTGAACTCGGGTGTCACCCCATGTCTGGCAAGGCCAAGGCTGCCCCAAGCCCTTCGTAGCGCCATGGCAGCCTGCAGAAACCAAATTGTGTTCCCTTGAACCTTTGCAGGGACCTGGCACCTGCCGAGTCAGACCTCAGCTCTGTCCAGCTTCTTGGGAGCTGAAGGCTCATTTCTGGGGCACTAGTCGGGTTTGTTATGAAACTGAGAAAGGACAAAGGAAACCTGTCAGTTTCGGTGACAGTCCTACCTCAGGACAGCTGTGGAAAACGTGACATGATTTTCATTTTTGTAAAAAGAAAGTTTGATATAAAAATGCATCAGAGATAATTAGAAAAGGGCAATCAGTGTAATTACAGGATTGGTTCAAGAAAACCCTTTGGGGTCAAACTTATTTTTTTTTACTTAATAACACCATATTTAATACAGAGCATTGTAATATCCTGATGACTAAGCTATATTTTGCTGCCTGCTTGACATATGAGTCTACAGATTTATTTTTATCTCAGTTCTGATCAGGGTGTGTTTGTTTGGCTGGCACCTTTTCCCTACAGCTTACCCATAGTCCAGCATGTTACTCCTGCCTTAGGGAAAAGGTCCAGCCAAAGAAACACACCTTGAGCAGAGCTAAGGAAACACACTTTGGCCCTGCAACCAGAACCAAAGAAATGTATCCTGACCCTGAAACCAGTGCCAAAGAAACACACTTTGTCCCTGAAATCTGAGCCAGTGGAAGAAATGCACCCTGGCCCAAAAACTAGAGCCAAAAGGCTAAGAAGGACCAGAGAAAAAAGCACACTTTGGCCCTGAAACCAGAGCCAGATCTCATCTAACCCTGTGCAGAAAACTAGCCAATCCCTGAGCAAGAGATTGAATCTGACCAATCCCCACTCTGGAAAACTCTGTCCCCTAAATGCCCTAGATAAACCCTATGTCTGTTCAGCTTGTGGCTGTTTGTGCTACCTGGGTGTCCTCTGCCACTCTGAGAGAGGGCAGCCATTCTCCTGGATTCTTCCCTCCCAATAAATCTCTTGAGTGAGGTTTGGGTGAAGATCTTCTTTTTCGGTGGAGCAGAGATGACCCTGGGCAGAGCAGAGCGGGCAGGACTGCAACACTCTCGCTGGGGTAAACCTTCCCCTGGCGAACTGAAGTTGTTACACTCTTCAGGGAATGGAGCTGAAGTTAACAACCTCGACAGGAAGCCCTCTCCTACCGGAGCAGAGCTGATGCACTGGGGAAGCATTTCTCTGAAGCAGGGCTGCTATGCTTACTGTGACTTGTGGTAGTCCTTGGCTCCCGAGTGCCATAATCCATCCCTATCCATCCCATCCGATCCCTGGAAATGCCCACATCTGCTACATGGTGTCTTCTATTGGCCCTCTCTGCCTACCTTTCCCAGAATTCTCATCTCCTAGCCCCTCCTGTCTTCCGGCCTCCATTGGCCAAACAGTGTTTCATACACCAACCGATAAGAGAAACATGTACACAGAAGGACATCCTGTCAGTGAGGTTTAGGCAAGCCTGGGTTATAGGAGAGACCCTATTTCAGAAGAGCAAACGACACAGCACGTGCAGCCTCTGCATCCCAGCTTTTTGGACCGTTAGTGTCTGTCTTTGTCTTGGGATCCACATGGGACTATGGCACCCTGGCCCTCTCTCCCAAGTCCACAATCAACTTTGACACCCCTGCCTGGAATCTGTGACAGCGCTGAAGCAGCAGCCAGCAGCAGCGGCAATGATGTGAAGACTCCCTGCCCAGCTGCAGGCCTTCCACTGAGGGGTCTTTAAACCCTCACCAGCACTCCACTGGCATGCTCAGTCTGCCTTACTGTATGACTTCTGGCTCAGAAATTCACTTCCCAGGGCTGCTCGTTTGTACCTCAACGTGGGAACCAGCAGGTAGAATTCCACGCTGATGCTGACTACAGAAGTGGTTGGACAGTCACTGACAGCCCCTGCATGCGTTAGAGGTACACGTGGTACATTGTCACACCTTATGAACAGTGGCTAAGATGACGGGAGCGGAAGGGGATGAAGACGGCTTTCTCCACCCAGATGACCCTGCTGGGTCCTGCATCCCCGCGTGCAGCACACTGGGTATCTGGCAAGTGTAAAGCATGGGCTTATGGTTGATTTACACAGGCTTAGTGTGAACATGACAACCAAGACTAAGAGTTCTACAGCGGCTCTTCCTCTTCTGAGGTGGTGTGCTTGGGCTGCCCAGTTGTCATCATTAGAAATATTAAGTAGAACCATCTTCCCATGGTACTGGCTCACCACCTTGAGAAACCTGCAGTGTCTGTGGAGAAGGCTCAGCTGTCAAGACTCTGTGGTGCCCTTGCAGAAGACTGGATTCTGTTTCCCAGAATCCAATTGGCTCACTTTCCTTTCACTCCACCAGACCCAAGCCTTTTCTGACCTCTGAGAGCACTAGGCAAGCACACATTCATGCAGGCATGCACAAATAAAAACTAAAATAAACAAATAAACTTAAGGAAGAAATTGAAAAAAAAAAACCTGCGAGAGAAGGTCCATACAATGTTTAAAAGAAGCATGCTATGAGCATGGTATATTTATTTATTTATTTTTTGGTTTTTCGAGACAGGGTTTCTCTGTGGCTTTTGGAGGCTGTCCTGGAACTCACTTTGTAGACCAGGCTGGCCTCGAACTCACAGAGATCTGCCTGCCTTTGCCTCCCGAGTGCTGGGATTAAAGGCATGCGCCACCAACGCCCGGCTGAGCATGGTATATTTATGTGAGCTCTAAAAGGCATTTTTCTTATTTACCTATCAGTTTGTGATGTAGTGTATAGATGTTACATATAAAGTATAAATATCAGTTTGTGGTATGTTGTATATAAGGTACATAAAGAGTATAAATGTGGCCAGGTATTGTGACTTATGCCTTTAACCCTAACCCATGTGGGGGTGAGGCAAATGTATCTGTGAGTTTGAGGCCAGCTAGGACCACACAGTGAGTTCTGGGCTCAAAAATAAAAATAAATGTGTAAAGAATTGAGGTGACAAATAGGAATTCTTTGTTCTAGGAAGACTACTCACTGAATACAATTCTCAAAGATCACTAGTGTGAATGCTTTTATGTTGATAAAAGAATCAACTTTTAAATGTTTGAAAAAGTAAACCTGTTGATTTAAAATTACAGAGACTTAATACTTGGATTTTTGCTTGGAGAGATGACTCAGCTGTTAGGAGCACACAATGCTGTTATAGGGAACTAAAATTGCACTCCAGGACCTATATCAGGCAGTTACATGGAGAGACCTCGAATCAAAAAAAGTTTAAAAGTAACCATATCTATTAATTTAAGTGTTTTTGGGACAGGGTCTCTTCTGTGTCTAGCCTTGAGTGATGTTGAACTTGATTTTTAGATCAGGTTGGCCTCGAACTCACAGATATCAACCTCCTCTACCTATTGAATGCTGGGGTTAAAGGCTTGAATCACCACCACCCAGGTTCTTTAAGATTTTTTGTTTGTTTTTGTGTTTTGAGACAGGTTCTCAGTATATACCTCTCACTGGCCTGAAACCCACTGTACAGTTCAGGTTGGCCTCAAACTCACGGATGTCTCCCTCCCTCAGTCTGTTGACCAGTGAAGAATAGGGAAAACTACAGTTGAACATGAATAGAAATGGAGGTGCTGTGTATATGCATTACTGTTGGTTCCCATCCTCCTAAGTGTGAAGACAAAACAAACACAGCTAAGACACAGCGCTGAGAGAGTCTTCTTCCCTGCAGAGGGTGGGGATAGATGAGACTTTTCCAAAGCTATGCTTTTCCTCAGCAAAGGAAGCAGGGGGCTTTTACTGAGGGAGTCTGGACACATTCATGTGAGGTCTGCCTATACCTAAGGATGCTCTGTTAACAGGTGTACTTCTGAACATGGACACACTGTAAAGGCAGAGATGTTAGTCTTAGCTCAATAAACTGCGGGAACAAATGTATAATATAAAAATCATGAACAGAAATGCTTCTGGAATCTTTGCTGAAAATCTAGTAAAGGATACTGGGAACGTAGACTACTTAGGAGCAAATGTTACCTGATAATCAAGATGTATCATCTAAGGATCTATGTATCAATGCCAGAATTCTCATAAATACACAGGACAGAGACAGAAAACAGAATACATAAGGAAAAGTCACCCGTCACACCGTGGATGCCATTCTAGGAAGAACACCTCTGCTGGGCTACTCTAGCCTCAGAACAAGGGTGATTTGGCTCTGAGCAGACTGCTTCAGAGGAAGGCTACAGAGGCTTCCATTCAGTACCAGAAAGAGATCATCCTAAATAGCCCTGACTGCTGGATGGCTTGGGACAGTGACACCACTACAGAGAATTCCATTCCTTTTTAATTTAATTTTTATTTTTATTAAGTTTCATTAAAATGTAATTACCCCATTTTCCCCTTTCCTCCATCCTTCCCCTCATATGTCCTCTCCCTTAAACTCCTACTCTGCCTCCAAAATTTCAAATTGATTGTCTCTTTTTCTTCATTTGTTACATATGTGTGAATAAATATGCCCAAGTATCAATGTGGCCTGCTAAGTCTGCTCTTGTTGTTTGTGTGTATATAATTTTAGGGTTGACCACTTTGTATTATATAACAACCTAGTAGGAATCTCACCCATGCTGGAGGATGAATCTCATTCTTGCAGGAGGATTCTTCTCTTTACTTGTTGGGGGGAAGTCCTTTGTCAATAAAGCACTGCTGGCCAATAGGAATCTAGATAGGTGGGACTAGGAGTCCAGGAGGACTCTGGGAAGGAGAAACACAGAGAGTCGAGATGTAACGCCACGGGGTAGGAAGCCCAGAAACTTCTCCGGTAAGAGACATACTTAGATTAACAATTATGGGGTAATTACTTAAGTCAGAGCTAGCCAGTAAGAAACAAGCAAGGCCAACAGGTTCATAATTAATATAGCCTCCTGTGTGTTTATTTGGGACTGATGTGGCTCTGGAACCAGGCTGGCGGGAAGGCTTCTCTCAAGGAAAAAGCCTCCCTTTACATTTACTGACTATCAGGAGTCTGGCTTCTGGTGACCTAGGCTGCCATGGACAGGAAACATTGTCTAGAATAGAGAATTGGGGCTGAAGTAACAGCTCAGTGGTGAAGAGCACAGGCTGCTCTCCCAGAGGCCCAGGTTTGATGACATGGCTGCTCTCACTTGTGCTGTAACTCCAGTTCCATGGTATTTGACTTCAGTCAGGTTTCCCTGGCTACTGAGCATGAACATGGTACGCAGACCTGTATAGAGTCAAAGAAGATCAATGCAGATGAAATAATCAGTTTACAAAAAGAAAAAGAAAGTAGAGACAACTCATACCATAGAGCTTCTTCCAGCTGGACATGGATATCCACACCTTCAATCCCAGCACTCCAGAGGCAGAGGCAGAAGCAGGAGGGTCTCTCTAAGTTCAAGGCAGGGAGTCTAATGCCACGCAGTACAATTTGAGAAAAGGTGTCCAGGGCACAGTCGACTCCATCAGTCCAATCCCAGGTGCACAGTAAAGCTCAGGCTGTGACTACAGAGAAACTATTTGATGAAGCACATGTGACCAAGAGGATGGGTTCTAGAGCTCACAGGCTCTCAGCAGAGGTCAGCAGGTCATAGAGCACACGTGACATCTCCCCTAAGGATGGGTAACGGTCTAGGGAGGGAAGAGTCTGGAATAATCACTCTGGGGAATTTGGGGGAGGTCTGCCTCTATAGCAAAAGGTGGGTAGGTTCTGTGTTCATACATAGCAATAAGGTCACCAAGTCACTCATGACCTCCACTCTCAGCTTTCTGGATGGTACACAGTTATTTGATTTGTCTCCTCCATCGAGAAGATACCTCTGTGTGCTTCTCTGAGAAGCACTAAGAGAACCAGATATCCTGCTGAGAGTTTTTAGCTACTGTCTGAACTCACTGTGGGTGCCCTACAGTTTACATATTAGCACTGTTCCCTCTGTTTGTTTATCTTATTTTTAAATTACATTAATTCATTTGTGTTTGTGTGTGCATATGTGTCTCAACACCAGGGTAACTTGCAGTAGTTCTTTTGTGAGTGAGTGGGGGGGGGTGTACATGCATGTGCATCCCTGCACACACCACAGTGCACATGGAGTGATTAGAGGACAGCTTACAGGAGCTGATTCTCTCCAACACATGAGGCCAGGACATCAAAATCGTGTCATCGGGCTTGGTGGCAAGTGCCTTTGCCTGCTGAGCCGTCATGCTGGTCCTATGTCTGCTTTTCTCTGATCCTGGTGAATTTGTTCACTGCCCATGTCACCTCCCAATTGCAGCTATTTCACACAGAAATACTACCGTTTTCATTATTACATCCTTCATTATTTTCACACCTATATTGTCAAACAGAAAGTTTGAGAAACTTTGCGATGAATGTAACACTATTCAGCAAAAACAGTAAGAGATAGCAAGATGGATCAGCGTAAAAATCCTTGAGCCAAGCCTGAGGACCTAGGTTCAGTACTTGGTACCCATGGTAGAAGGACAAATGGGTTCCTCTGCCCTCCATGCTTGCACAGTAGCATATACACATAGACAGACAGACAGACAGACAGACAGACTCACGTATGTATGCACGCAGACACACACACACACACACACACACACACACACACACACACACACACACGGAAATTGCAGAATTATGACATTGTCAAGTCAGGGCTATTGTTACGATGTGGCGGACATAGACCTTGGTTGGTTAGTCCAAACCACAGCAGGCGATTGAAAACACGAAATGCAGACAGAGCTTACCTGGGAAGTTTTATTGGAGGAAGGGAAGAGAGAGAGGGGAAGATACAGAAAGGGAGAAATGGAGAGAGGGGTCAAATACCTGCCTGCCTCTTCAGAGAGCAGAAATGGGAGGAGCTATCTCTTAAAGGAACCTTTTGTGCCTGTGTAGAGTCAGGGTACTGCCTGGAATGGGTGCAGGGGTGACACAGTCTGCCAGTACCCCAAAGGGCAGGGCCAAGGTGCGCCTGGTTGCTAACAGCTATTAAGGTCGGAAAGGCAAATAGAGCTTTTAGAGTTGCCTCTGCCAAGGTATTGTATCCCTGGAGGCATTGCAGAAATTAGTTCCATCACGGAGGACTTGCAAGATTCAGGGTGGTGGTTCCCACACATCTCCCTTTAACTCTTCTATCTGATCAGCACTGAAGCCAGTTGGATTGTGGTGAATGATAACTGACCATCAAAAACTCAATCATGTAGTGACTGGAAATACATCTGCATTATCAAATGTGGTGTCCTTACTTGACGGATGAACACATCTCTCGGTACGTGGCATATAGCTATTGATCCATCAAGGGCATTTTTCTCAGTGTCTGTTCGTAAGGACAAGAAGCAATTTGCTTTGAGCTGGAAAGGCCAGCTTTGAAGTTTTACTACAACAATATGTTACCTCTACAATCTGTCATAACTTAGTTAGAAGGGATCTTTTTACATAAAACTTTTTAATCTTTAGCTATACATATATAGACTATATACATATACATATATATCATATACATATATAGACTATACATGATTTGGGAAGGAGGCTGTGCCAAACAATGATCGAAGAAGAATCATCCATTCTATGCCTTTTCTTTCATCTGGTCACTCAAAAATACAATGTTATCAACTATGATTGTTGTTGATGCCTCATGTTATTTTTATCCATTTTTCACCATAGTCAACTTTCCCTTCCACAAGTATGCGAGCCCCCCTTTTCACACACTGATATGCCACATCTCTGAGGCCCGGTTGAAACACTGATATTCTGTGACACATTGTCTTTTGACTGACGTCACCCATTTGCACACCTCACTGTCTCCTGATCACCACATCTCGTTTGTTGCCAATGAAAATATCGTGACTGGGTTTTTTCCTTCCACCTGTCTCATGACAGGGTCCTGAACTACTCGTCCAAGTAACTGAACATGATTCATAGATCTTTCAAGAACCAAACTGCTGGCCACTTCAGACTCATGACTTATAAAATGATGAAACACCTGTAACACAGGTCTTTGAAACATGACTTTGGTGTTTCTAACCTTTAGACTTTTTCTGAAGCACAGCACCTGACTGCACCTCTGTTAGAGGCTCACTTCCCTAGAAGAGACCTTGATTGTGTGTCTCTTCCCCAAAATATCATGTTGTGTGTAGTGATATACTTGCCTGTGAACCTGTAACAGCGACTACGCCTTTTGGTCAGGTGTGGACATGACTGGATAAAGGGAGAGGAACAGAGATTGGGGGAGGTCCCTGAAGAGAGCATCAGGGAGGCAGGGTCTACATCCTTGGAGCAAGAACACCATGACAGTCATCTACTGTTTTATGCATAAGTCCTTTGCCTAATAAAACTCCACTTATCATTTATACTGAGGTTGGTGAGTCTATATAATTTACACACCATCCACTGCACTATATTGATGATGTTATATTGAATGGAACAGGAAGTAGTAGTCACATGGAACTTGTTGGTAACACATATATGAACCAGAGGATGGGACATAAATCCAACCAAAATTCAAGGACCCTCTACCTCTGTGAAATTCTCAGGAGTTCACTGGTGTGATCACGCAGGGATATTCTATCTAAGGTGAAGGATACATTTACTGGGCCTGTTTGACTTCTGGAGACAGCATATTCCCCACTTGGGTTTGTTTCTCTGGAAAGGTGCTATCATTGTATGTGACCTGGAACAGGAGAAGGTTCAGGAGCTTTGTAGGCAGCTCTACCACGTGGACTACATGACCCAGGACCTGGTGGCACTTCACCGACCAGTGGCAGAGTGTGATGCTGTTTGCAGCCTTCGGTTTTTCCCCATGGGTGAAGTGCAGAAGACATGTTGGAGATGTCTGACAAGGTTGAACCATCATCTTCAGACAACTTCTTTGGGCTGCGCTGCTCTTTCACCTTAGAGGAAGCTGAGCCTTTGAAAATGGGCCACAGAGTTATCAGTCTACATGTGCTGCCCATCATGAGCCTACAGCAATCTATTATCAAACAAATCATCATGCCTTTAGATTTGAACTTGTTAAAATAGTTAAATGAAAATGAAAACTTTAGTAGCCGTGTGAGGCAATTCTTCCCAGATGTCTTTATCTGCAACAGTCACACTTAACCACACCACACCAAGAGATAGCAATCATTTCTTCACTAGACATAGTGCAGGGTTTCCAAGGTTTTCTGAGGGAACTGGGTAGGGAGGAAAACGAGGGATAATGCACTCAGAGAAATGGTAGATACTTAAATCCAAGCTTGGAGGCCTCACATGTTTAATTTCTTCTTGGATGGGATAGAGAGGGTTATATTTATAGGAAGCTTAATGTCCAGCCAGAGGGACTATATCCACACTGTTTCTGGGAGATACATGCTTCCTTTGGTCTGTCTGTCTTTTCCTCTAGAGCTCTACTTAGGTTGCATTCCTTTCATGATCGTGCTCACCATTATGCTGTACGCCCTTGTCTGAGTAGGTGTGTCCTTGTTAGTTAGGGTGTCACTGCAGGTGAGACTTGAGTTTTCAACATCCCA